CACACACACACACACTCCCAGAAGCCTTTCGAAAAATGTTCAGAAAATTTTCAGTTATATTGTCATAAATTAAAAGAGCTTAGAAATACAGTACTTACACGCAGCACTGAATCAGGGGAGCTAAGATTGAGATCTCATCACGGGAATGTCTGCCAAATCTGTAATCAATACATGTCAGTACATCACAACAGGGAGGCTGTAGGGTATTTGAAAACAAAGCAGGCAAAGAACATTGGACCATGAGTTTATTGATCTACATACCCTCTGGCATTGTCAAAGTGAAGGAGAAACCCGTCATCTCCAAACTTTGTGAAGATCTCATAGTGGTGGCGGTCCATATTTCCTAAGGGAAAACAAAAGAAGCCAAGGTTAATATGACAGCCAACTAAAATGTTACTGCTTGTTGGAGTTGGAATGGAAATGAAAATTAACTGTTGCTGGCCACAAATGACTGACATTAACCAAACAAAGGAACAAGTAATAGGTTTATTCCATGCTGCAAACATGTTTTCTTTCTTCTCTTTTCAGCATGGAATAAACCTATTACTTGTTCCTTTGCAGCCTACGCATGCTGACGCAGCTACCCACCTGAATTAACTCAACAACATGAAAAACATTAAAATAAAAAAATATAATGTAAGCTGGTATATTTCAGTGTTCCTATAGTTATGTTCCATGTTTTTGGTGTTTAATGTTTTTAGCATATGTTATTCCATTAAATTCAACTTTGAATTTATTTCAAAAAAATATTTTTTTTTTATTTCAAAAAGATGTTAAATTCGGATAATTATAATATGAGAATAATTTCACTACTATCTTTCACTACTGGTCATCCACTGTGTTTTGCCTTCTCAATCCCTTACAGTGCTAGAGCAACTTTTACTCATCCTGCTTGCTAGTGATATGTTAACATTTATTTTCACAAAGTGTTGAACGAAGAGTCCCAGCAATATCATTTTCACCAGAATAGAAATGAAGGTATGGTACACTAATCACAACTACAACATTTAAAATAACTGACTGGTTAAGGGTAGCACAGTGGTGAGCACTCCTGCCTTGCAGTGCTGAGGCTCTGGGTTCAGTTCTGGGCCTGAGGTGCTGTCCTCATGGAGTGTGTATGTTCTCCCATTCTCCCTGTGTATGTTCTCCAAGGTGTATACTACTGTGCACCTGTTACTTGCTGGGATGGGCTCTGCCCCCTCCCCAATCCTGAACTGAATAAAGCAGTTAGAAGATGGAAGGATAGATAATGGATAATGATAGAAACCCCATTCTGTGCACAGAAGCTAATCAATATACCAGATCTAACACACAGTGATTGTAACTACCATTTAAGGAGAGGAATATCATTTCAGAATGAACACCAGTAAATTACTGGTAAATAACACAGAGAAGCCAAACTCACTTTTTCAGTAAAACTTTTACTATACGCTATGTTCAGTGGTTGGTTTTGCACTGCACATTATTAATAAGTCTCTTGGCAGATGATTGAGAATCATCTACAGTTCCTGTCGCATTGTGTACCTATTAGGAAGTCAAATATGGCCATGTCAATGATGTTCAGCAGTCTATTTCCAGTGTTGTACGGGTAGAGTTGCTTGACAACATCACAGTAGAATGGATTCACTTCCCATCTGGAAAAAGACAGGCATAAGAGATTTCAAATGCAGTGATGCAAATATGACTTTTTAAGTGATTCCAAACAGACATCAGGGCAGGTACATTCATGGAGGTGCTCAAAGAGTGCAAGCTGTGACATAATTGTACCATCAAACAAGAATAGCTGACCTCACACTCAACCCCACGTTTTTTCTTTTGCAGAAATGGAAAATGGGGATAATCTGACCCTGCAACTGGTTCTTGAGGTTTGTGAATTGTAGTGTGCTCGTTTTGTATCACTTCAAATAAATTCAGGAGTAAAAGCAGGACTTTCAAAGAAATGTTACTCTAAAAGTCAGAAACAAATAAAGAATAAAAGTATAGGATTGCTGTAACATGAATGTGAAGGCTTACTTTAAAATGTTCACATGTTAAGACCTGGTGATCTCATAATGTGCGAGAATACAAACCATTAGAGCTGTAGGCTGTGTTCCCTGCAGGAGTTCGTATGGGTTTAGGATTGGTGACATGCAGGGAGTGTTTGCTGAAGCTTCTTGTGAGGAGTGCTTTTTAAGGCGATAACTTTGCTGTATTTTGCTAGCCCTTACTCTTCTTTTCCTGCAAAGTTATAGGATCTGATCCAGGGATTGGGGATGGAAAGGCGGGGAGCGATGGTCAGCCCAGGCAAGTAGGCCGACAAGGAGCCCTCCAGCATGTCGGGATTCCCACACACCGCGTACTCCGTCTTGCACACGTACAGGCACTTCGCAAAGAAGCAGGTGTTGTTGGCTGTAAGAGGGGGCGTAGAATTAGACAGTGACTGCACTTTAAACTGCTTTGGGGCCAATCAGGGTAAAGTACAGAAGGTCTGTTCTTGCAGGCTTCTATTTAGACTGCTGTTTTAAGTCCAGCTTTACCACTTTACAAAATGGGCCCAGAGAAGCATGGAAAGTTGGGGATTGGTGACTGATTTCTCAGTTTGTCCCCTGTCCATGGCCATTTCTGAGTCACGGTACTTCATCAGATGATCAGGCATAAATTGTGATCGCCAGGTCAACCTGTTTCTGGCTCATCCAGCTACGTTTTTCTAAATGCTCGTTCAGTCAATGCAAGTCTAGCCAACTACTAATCTTTTCTGCCCCAGTTGATTAAATTACAGAACCAAGGTCAGCCTTCAAACCAAAAACTACAGTGCAGATTTGCATTAAATTATTTTTGGGGGGATCTGAGGTTTTCCTAAAATATATAATCTTTCTATAATCCTTCTGCTTGAGGCAAAACATTGCACATGTCACAGATTTATCTGTGGGTCTTTCAAAGCACTTAACACTAAATATGTATTGCTGGCCTTCATGTAATTCTTCTGGTTATTCTTTAACTTCTCTGTTTGCTCTAAAGACTGTATCAATTTGCTGAGGTCACTCAGTCTTTCACCACATCAGAATATGGTCAGAAATGGGCCAGCTGAAATGGGATTCAGCTGTACTTTAGTAATGTAAACAAGTTTATTTGCAAAGTAAACCTGTTTATCCATGAGTCAGAATTCAGGGTCTTTACCAAAGGAGACTGTGTTTTATAGAAGCCAATGAGAACCCATTTGAGTTGCAAGAAGAAAGATTAATCAGTAGCACGTAGACGACCTATAGCTTTGTGTTAGAGCCCACTGTGTCCTACATTGATTAAGCACACGTGAACAGAGGGAAGGGGAGGTGGCTGTTAACATCCAGATAGATTTGCCAAAACTCACCAGGAGAGGTGAAGAAGACACTCCTCAGGTCTTCGTTCCGTGTTGTGTAGAGGATTTCTTGAGTAATGTTAACCAATCTCCCAGCCACGGGCGGCACTCTGCGAAAGTCTAGTATTCTGTCGGGGAGGAGAAAAGAGAAACAACAAAGACCTTAGTCACCTAAAGACATCAGATTGTGATTCTTTTTCCTTTACTGACATGGTGATGAGTCCTAGGGTAGGGGTTGTGTGTTTACATACTGTAGGTCAATATATGTCCTACCTGTCCCACCGGAGAATTAGAGAATATCCTTAATAGCAGGGATATTACAGTAGGCGCCATTATACAGTATGTACTGCGACAGACTGCCACATCAATACCATTAAATCCTCGCAGATATCCACTCAGCCAACAGCAGCTGATGCAGCTCTTCATGAGATGTGGATAACAGTACAAAAGCTTCATGTGGTCTGAATTGTTTTTAATCCAGCAACCACTGTCCATGAACATTTGAAGTTGTGCAAAGTGACTCATTTCCTAGGTCTGCTATTGTGTTCTATGTTTCTCCAAAGGCACACGTACCTACAATAAGGCCTCATAATATCTCTCAACTCCGCCATTTTCTCCACGGCACTGCACACTGACGAAACTTCACTGATCTGCTGCTGCTTTTCCATTTACAGGAATCATGAGACACAGCACATACTGGCCCTTTCCCACTATTTTGGGCAGGATGGGTCTTGTGGAATTAAGCATTCTCTAATAGTTTGGTAGGGTATACTTTTTCCAGATTGGTTTGTAGACAGTTAAGTAAACTGGAAGCTGAGGAGACAGCATTCAAATCTTAAATTGCATCCATGTAGTCCCTTTGCGAATTTCCACTTCTTAGACTGTACAGTATAGGTTCACTTAGTGCATGCTGACATTTTGTCTAAGACTTTAGATATTTTTTTTCATGTTCCTGCTATAAACACCAGGGATGTGAGTTGCATTGTGAGAGCTGCCAGTCTGAGAAGTTAATTAGATGCTGCCTGGCACAGAGTTCCTAATCTCTCTCCTCATAAGTATTTATTCCAGCCCTGAGTGTTGGTGTGGAAACCTTTGCCTTGGCTTGCCTCTTTAGTACCACTATTGTAATTCAGTGCATGAAAGTACAAAAGCCATTACACCACACTTCCTCCTCGCCATAAATCTCAGTCACATAAGCCATGCCTTCCAGTCATGTTCTATTTTATTTTTGTAGGGTGTGGGAAGGGGCAGATCTTGAATAGTGCTGTAAATCATGCCTGGTTTTACACTATGTGGTGGAGCATTTGAAAACCCTCATATTGTATATTTATGTATCAAACCTAATCCAGAATCCTGGATGCTGTGACCAGTGCATTAGATCAAATGTATACTGATTTCTGACTTTTGCACTAACTGGTTGAGTCACGATCATCTAGACCTGGAACACTATGTAAAGAGTTGTGCTTGATCTTTAAAATCTAGAGAAAATTGAAGTATTGAAAGGACAACATTATTTAGGCTGTAAAGCAACCTATCCTATGAGAAACGATAAATGATTTCCTGAATTCACAACAATTAGAATTCCACCCATTGGTCTTAAGAAAATAAAAGTCATATCATGTACCAGACTGCTTTAAACAAGGTCAAGGCAGGGCACACCAGTCCATCTCAGGGCAAGTATAAGCCAATCATACATGGGGACAATTTGGAAGTCACAGTAAAATCCAAGGGGGGAAATTTGGCCCGGGCTACGCTTATCGAGAAATGCCCGGGGATCTTTAAAGACCACTCAGAATCAGGACCTCGGTATAACATCTCATCTGAAAGACGGCACCCACTACAGTATAGTGTCCATGCCACTATACCGGGGCATTAGGACCTATACAGACCTCAGGGTGGGCGCCCCCCCACTGGTCCCACTAGCACCACTTCCAGCAGCAACCATAGTTTCCCAGGAGGTTTCCCAAACTGTTACTGACCAGGCTCAACCCTGCTTAGCTTCAGTGGGTAGCCAGTTGAGAGCTGCAGGGTGATATAACTGATACTGTAGGTATCGGAAGTAAATATATAGTGGAGCAATTGTAAAAATCATTCCATGCATGTCCTACATGCCTGCTGTATGCCATCACTTTTGAATCAGGAACGTTTCATCCGACTTACATGATGGGCTGGAGACCTCTTGACACCAAGGTCTACCTAACTACTGAGAGTCACAACAGCCTCACTCGACTAGTAGTATTTGTTCATCATCAGAGTGGTTGGATAGGTATAGACTGAGCTGAAAAGTGGAGTGGTGAGCAACTAAGTGTGCCCACTAATGGCTTTTCTTCTGTCATATTCTTATATTTATCATTTAATGAAATCCATTGTCTTTTTAGTTTTTTGTCAAGTTTTGTTTTCTTTCATTCTTCATCCTTAGTGCTGTCTTTTCGTGCTAGTGATGCTTGCCAAAACTGCAACTATTGCTGAATTCCCCGTGGTAAAATAATGGCACTGAACTTCTGAAAGTGTTTCAAGAAACACAGCCATAAATTAATTGCTAACAGTTATTGATATTAAGTGTTCCTGGTAACACTTAACCCCAAAAGATGAAAGCCCCAAAAGCTTTTAGATTCTTTTCACCTTATTATCTAACCTTCTTAATTCTTATATTGGCCCTTTAGTTTATTTTCACAAATGTATAATTGTGGTATAGCAAAGAACCAGAAGTCTGCTAATAAAAGTGAAGTGTATTCAAAATGGCAGGAAATGGAATAAAAGGGTACCTGCTCCTAAAAATCAAGGATTTATGCATGCATAACAAATCTGTCTTATTGCATAGATTTAGTGCACAAAAGTTCTTTTAAAAATATTTACGTATAGTGTACGTATTTGCCTTTGAATGCCAATTTATTTTATCCATCCATTTTCTAATCACGTCTTCGAATTTCAGGATCATGGAGGAGCCAAAACCTATCCCGGCAAACGACAGATGCAAGGCAGGATACACCCTGGACAGGATGCCAGTCCATCACAGGCCACCCACAGATACAAACACAGAACATGCACACACTCCCACCAAAAGGAAAGGGCCAGTCTTCCCAGAAGCCAATTTACATACCAGTATGTCTTTGGACTGTGGAAGAAAACTGGAACACAGGAAGAAACCCATGCACACACAGGGAGAAAATACAAATTACGCCGGTTATTTTACCACACAAATTGGTTTTACTGTGTCATGCTGCAGTAACGTTTTACCAGAAACATTAAACCCTTAGTTAATGTGTAACAAGTGGCAGTAGATGCCTAGCTCATTTTAATAATTGTAGAAGACAATGTAATAGAGACCAGCCATTTAGCAAAGCAGGCTTGTCATAACCAGCATCCTAATGAAATGATTCAGCTATGGACATTTTTAATCAGGACCTGAGGTATTTAAAACCCAATATTAAAATGGCATTTTGAAGGATATGAATGCCTATATACTGTATATAGTATGTATTCATTTGTATTCCAAAAACTTAAATATAATATACTTGTCCATTATGAACTACTGTATTGTGATCAGGAATACCATTCTGAGTAGCAATTTTGTTTTGAGATTTTGTATTCAAGGTAAGTATGAAGATGAAATAATGACCAGCACATTTTCTGGGGTAGCAAATTTTCATTATTTTTAACCCCCTTATGCAAATCAGAAATTAAAACTTGAATGATTTTCAATTACTTTCCAGTGTATTTCATGAGAGAATTTCCTAAGAATATTGTAAAAAGTGAAATCCATAGTACAAAATCTTTTGGAAAGTGAATTTGGGAATAATAAAGTGTGAGAGGGAGATTACCTGTCCAGGTGAAAAGCAGCTATTTCAGCATTGTGTCTTTGAAAGTCCACAAAATAAAAGAAATCCTCTGGGGTCTCCTCATCTCTTTCCTGCCTGAGTAAGAAGAGAGTCATGAGGCCTTGAGCACAGCAGGTTCGATCTATGGTGGTTGGTGCTCATATCAGGCAGCAGTAGACAAATACGTCCAGTTCTGATCAAGGTAGCTAGCATTATTTGTTATTGTAACGATTCAAGGTTCGGCTGAACTGTTTAACGGTTGAAACATCATCCAGATGCCCTACGTTGGATCCCTAACTAACAGGAGTTTGTTCCTCAGGCTCTGGCATCTAACATGCTTACTGGGTCTCTTGAAGTTGTAAGCAGTTTTGCAGTTCTTTACCAAACAGTGAAAGCCATTTACTGGATGTTCTGACTGGATTAGTTTATCCTTTCTTCATAGCCAAGTTCTGGTTTAAGCCTCTAAAATGGATTTGGAGCACTAAGGGCTGGAGGTGGGAGCCTTATGAGTTGTAAACCAAATTCTAACACTAATTATGAAGGCTGAAATAAACCTGCCAATGTGTGCTAGCTTCACAAGGGCTCCAGAACTAGTATTTATGCAGGACTACAATATTTATATTCTGGGAATAGTAGACTAATGAAGTGCCTATATTACTTGCTTGAATTGGCTGATTGTGTTTCATAAATCTGAAGATCGAGACTTTAATAGTGTCAATACATTTAAGGATTTAAAGTTCCATTCTGAGTATTTCCTGACATAAGTCTGACCTCCTATATCTTTAGGGCAGAGATAAACTGGTTCTTTTCTCAAGGAGAGCGTACCTTCTGGGTTTGAACATGGCCTTGCTGAAGTCCTGGAACTTCAGGGCCAGCTTCAGGTGGTGCCCACTTGGCTTCACCACTGGGGGAAGAGACGATGAGACCATAAGAACAGGTTCTCCTGACACTTGGTCTCCTGTATTCATATCCATTCAGCTCTCTTTCAGTATTTCCTGTTTTTAAAACATTATGTTACTAATCAAAGAATATAATTCCAATGTTTTATTTTTAATTCTAGCTATTGCTTTATAATACTGTATTCAACACTCATTCATACACAATAATAATAATTGCTAACACTTATATAATTCTTTTCTGGACACTCCACTGAAAGCGCTTTACAGGTAATGGGGACTCCCCTCCACCACCACCAATGTGCAGCCCCACCTGGATGATGTGACGGCAGCCATAGTGCGCCAGAATGCTCACCACACATCAGATATCAGTGTGGAGGAGAACAGAGTAATGAAGCCAGTTCATGTATGGGGCTTATTAGGAGGCCATGATTGGTAAGGGCCAATGGGAAATTTGGCCAGGACGCCAGGGTTACACCCCTACTCTTTTCGAGAAAAGCCATAGGATTTTTAGTGACCACAGGGAGTCAGTTTTACGTCTCATCGAGAGGACAGCACTCTTTTACAGTACAGTGTCCCTTTCACTATACTGGGGCATTAGGACCCACACAGACCACAGGGTGAGCACCGCCTGCTGGCCCCACTAGCACCTCTTCCAGCAGCAACCTCAGTTTTTCCCAGGAGGTCTCCTATCCACTGCTTAGCTTCAGTGGGGCTGTCAGTTGTGAGTTGCAGGGTGAAACCTGTATGGCAGCTGGCTGCTAGATTATTATGTAATACAAACTGTACTTGCTTTTCACTAGATATGGCCAATTTAATGGAACATTCATTATCCTATTCTTGTACCAGACATGTCTAAACTTCACAATGATAATCACTTCACTCACTGGCGTTTTCATTTGTTTGCTCTTTTTTTGGTTTTGTCAAAAGATATTGCGTGCTTCTGCTACTTACCACATAGGGGCCTGGGGCTGTGGTGTTGTCTGAACACTTTATTGCCTTGATAGTTTACATACTTGATTTAAAAGCAAAAAACAATGTACCAATATGCATTGAAATGTGCATTACTGCTTGGTGAGATTGGATCTCAGCTTTGGTTGAAGGGTGAAAGACATCCTCAAAAATACTCATCAGTCTTTGATATAACTGTGGCTTGGAAGAGGGACTTTAACTTAAGGAAAACTGGCAGTGGAGCTAAACTTCTCAGGCTTGGAATGCCTTCACATGCTCAGCTCATATTCATTTGTGCATGACTGCAGTTTGAGAGATAGTGCCAGCAGAGTTTTCTCTTGTGTGGAAGACAGTGCAGGAGAATCCTGCATAAGCAGGAGGAATTGTCCTCTCACACGCTCACACTGATCAGGGTCAGGATTTAAAGACTAGATTTCCGGAGGGGGGAAATAAAATCTTATAGCTGCCATTATAATCATGTGGGCACTTCAGCAGTTACCCAATGTACAGTCACATTTCAGGGCACATACAGTACTGTACAGACACACACACTCACACCAGGGCCAATTTTACCACAAGCCAGTTAACCCACTTTATTGAACCAGGACCCCCAGAACTGTGAGACACTAATGCTAACCACAACACCACTCAGAAATAATATTAAGTATCTTATTCAGAAGATGCCAAGGATATTTGATTTTAGGTCATACTTAACGTCAGGAATGCTTACAGTTGATTAATGTATACAACAGTAGTATTTCTATTGTTTCACATTTCCCTAGTATCTGGATACTTTAAATATTCTAACAGAACTCTAGATTTTGTCTAGGCCTTCTAGTGAAAGTTGTTCATGTTACACAAGTGATACTGTTCTGCTAAAGAAATATAAATCTTATTTTTAAATAAAAAAATAAAACATTTTTCTGAAAAACAAACATGCAATCTGTTATCTAGTTAAAAATTGAAGAATTGGTTTGGTTTCAATTTCTGCTTTAAAATTAAAGAATGTTTTTGAAGACAGTATCTAGATAATCTAAAAGATATGAGTTTCTCTGGAAACCTTAATGTCTCACAAAGGCTTTTTACCTTGAGAGCAGTCACACATGCCTTTGAGAATTTTCTCATCTTGAGTGTAATCTGTGTGAGAAAGAAAAAAAATATTTGGAAAGGGGATCATTGTTAATGTGGACCATGTTTGTTTTGGATACCATAGAAAACTAACCATGCACACTTCTTTTGAAATACAGTCTAGTGTAACCTGTAGGTGAACACTGGTGTATATATCTAGATATGGGACACCAGTCAGATCACCTTGCTGACGACAATCTCAAACTCTGACTCCTACAGGAAGCTGAAAGAGGGGTATTTGTATTACAAAGTACCCACATAAACTAAGAATTTAATCTGGCATGTGAAGAAAATCTGTCATGCTGCCTCAGAGACATGTATTTTCATATTTTTACCAAAAGAAAGCATGCTTCAGTATGTTAAAATATACACATAAATGTGCAATCTTAAATTGACTGCTGTATCTGATACATTGGAAAATGTGTCTAACATTTAAGAGAAGTTTAAATTAATCAAAATGGTTTAATGGTTTAAAACAAAGAGCTGCCTGAAGTAACTGCAGAATGCTGTAAGAGTATAATATCAATATTATTCTATATGGTTTGACCTGGGAAGTGTGCTGGGAGCCGGGATATTTGTTTTTCAGGTGAATTAACCTCGCTTTGTTCCAATATGATTCAGTGTCTGTTTCTCTCTGTTTTCGGCAGGGCAGGTTGGACTTTCTCACCTGCGCTGATAATGGGGGTGCTCCCCATGTCTCGCAGCAGCTGATCAATACTGGGATCATCACGGGAGTACAGAGCATAGCGGTTTATTCCCAGGTGGAACTTTACCCAGCTGGCTTCGGGGTCAAAGGTCACGGTATTAGAGGGGAAGGAAATATTGATAGCTGCTGCCGCTGCACTGTAATACTTCTGATGTCTGTTGAGGAAAGAGAAACACAAGAATATTTCCACAGGCGGTGTAAGGGACACTGCTGTCAGGGACCAAAACTTTATCTCATTTTGACAAAGACCTGTGACGCTAGAGACTTCAGAAACAGCAGGAGCACACAAATTGTAGGACGTAAATGGAAACTAACTCAAAACTCAACACAGGAACCATTTTTTAACACAAAGGGTGGTGGGCATTTGAAGCAAGCTATCCGGTCATGTTGTTGAAATTTATCTCCTGCTTTTTGCAAGTCGTGGCTGGTCAAGATCCTTGGATCAATTACTGTACAGTGGCTGTTAGTAACCAAACAAACTAAATGGGACAAATGGCCTCCTCCATTTGTATAAACAGTCCATCTTGCACCTGCATTTGAAGATTGCTAGTTTATGAGAGATGCAGTGGCTACATCAACGACTGTTGTTTCAGTGCTTGATTTAACTAAATGACAATCAGTGAAATGAGGAAAGACTAATTGACATTAGTAATGTTTTGAAGAGCATTGATTTGCTCTGATTTTTTCATGTGCCCTTCCATAGAATTGTTTTGTCCTCAAGTCCGTGCTAATTTTTAAGGCTGCGGTACACTGTGACTTGTGCCCAATACTTTTATCTTGATTTAGATTCTTGTACTCTGAAGCTCTGAAAGCCTTTCACCCTCAATGTACATTCTTGACATTTGTGGTGTTCAGTAACTACTACTCTGAGCTTTAGACTTCACAATACATTTTCCCTCTTTGCCATTACAAGGCTAGATTTGTTCTTGGATTTCTTGGGTCTGCAGTTAAACACGATTGTAAAATAATCTGTTGTCGTTTGTACTAAGCCCAAAATGCTGATATATCTTTTTACATATTTAGTTTGAGATTTCTGGATTTCTAGATTTTGCAATGCAATCCACAGGCTGGCCTCAGGGATGATCTCAAGGCAGACTAGCACTGTTCACATCTACTGTGATCTTTTCCCCCCTATACTATTAAGGGTAGGAAGAGTTCAGTCTGATTACACATTACCTGGGCGCAATACCGCAGACAGATTACAAAAATTACATCTATGCTGCAACACGTTTATTATGTCCTCCAAGTAAGTGCAATGGAGTGAGTCACAAAATACTAGTTGTACCCACTCGAAACAGGACATGGCCTGCTGCAGTCCTGTCTTCATGGCTAGTCCTAATCGGCACAGCTCTCTCTGTCAGAACCACAGCACAGTGTGGTCACAGTGGATTTTACGCACACATACACACCAGTTACTGGCAGCTTCTTCTTAAGGTTATTTTTAAAGGGTTTTGCTTATGCTGTACCTTAGCACAATTGCGATAATTATATCAATTAAAAAAACCCCACTGAAGATAAACATACATTTTTGCACGGGATGTATTTTTAGTGGCAATGTATTGGGAGCCCACACAGAAACTGAAACACTTAGAAAGGTGCTTTCCCTGGAGTTCTCACATGTATTCACAGAATACATGTTTTCTACACAGAGACTACACATAGGTAAATGCTTATGAGCTCTTTTTTAGAATTTGTGTGTGGTCAAAGACATGGTCAAGAACTTCCACAGTTTAACCATAACATTATTCTTTTATGGGGTTTGGAGACAAACTGCCCCCCTTTCACTTTCCATGCAATTTCTTTGAAGTCATTCAGTTTTGTTTTTCTCAATCGATCACCTTGTGTGATTTTACTTCAAATACTTGTGGATACAATCCTAATCTTAAAATCACCAATGTTCCTGATTCAACTTCTAAACCCTCAGCTCTGACTTCTCAGAAAGCATTTCACCTTCTCCAGGATTACCTTAGCTATATTTTCAATTGGAAGGGCCAAATATCTAATTTCTCCCTAGTTATTTATTAACACTATTTTTGAACTTCAAGTACTGCAGTGGGGAAGCATTAGAGAGTGTGACAAATGTAGAAGGGAATAAGTTCAAAATTCAAATTCAAATTTTTCGATAATGTGTTTTTGCTCTTTTGCTCTGTTTGCATGTTTGTTTTGGAAGAAGTCTAGCCATACTGCTTTACAGTCCCTTGTGGCTGCCCTGGCAATTAGAAACATTTTTGCCACAGGTCACAAAACAGGCTCCTCTCACAATACTGAGAGATTGCACAACATGTCCTAATTTACATGTTTATCCAGATTCCCTGCTTCGCAATGGAAAAGCATTCCAATACTTGTGTATTGTACTATTGCTGAAGCCAGGTCTGAGGTTTAATTTACTTGACTTGTGTAAGTGGGACATATTTGAACTACAATCAGCACACTGCACATGCGTCTTCCATACATGTGCTGTGATTCCAAAAGTACCACTCTGAATGTGTTGGGTTATTCCTGTACTTTTGTAGTATATTTTCAGTTTGGGGTTGATCATAGCACTTTGTGAGAGGGGATTTAATTCCTGATATGACAAGTCACAAACTGAATTCATTATGTGTTTGTATTCTGTAGTTTTGTAACTCATCTCTATATTATAAATCCCATTCTAAATCTTTATTTTAAATCCCGAGAGTGTGTGATTGTTAAACTGATGCTTCTGCCTTTTGTGTTTGTTCTAGTTACTCCTAACACAGTGCAGAAATACTCTAACGGGACTGTTAAGAGATGTCTGAAGTGCAGGATATATCCCATTTGCCAGATCTGCTATCTGCTGTACCACACCTGAAGAAAATTTGACATTCTTTCAAAGGAGACAAAGTGGTCATAATCTCCTCTTTGTACAGAATGAATAACCCACAGTTATTAAAAACGTCAGATACAATTTCTGAATGAACCTAAAATGGGGAAAGTGTTAAAGATCTACCTAGTTTGTTTTGTCATCTGATCCTTAAATGTATCACATGGGTTTTAGCTCCCTTCCAAGATCGTGTTTTTTCTCTGTTTATCCATATCACGCAAACTTTTAGGATCCCTGGAGAGGCGAAATCAACCTAATTCCCACCCTTTCCTGCTCTCATGGTGCAGCAAGCTGTGTAATTCTAAAGCTCTGGTCAGGGTTTGGTTTCCTTGTGCATACTGGGTGTGTGAAATACAGAGAGCCAAAGGCATGCATGGAGACATTGCTGCATCATCCTTGTGAGCACAGTAAGGCAATATAAAGTAGTCAGAGTTGAAATCAGGGTCCCAATTAGACTAAAGTGCCCCGGACTTCTCCCCTCAGATGTTATAAGTTATCCTACTTAATGGACACCCTCATAGCGTTGAACAGAGAGGGTCAAGGAGAAGCTTTTCTTAGCCCATTTCTCTGCAACATTGGAACATCACCTAACAAGGTTCGTTGAAAGAATGATTTCCTGTAACAGGACAATCCCCTGCTTTTAATTTTACAGTCTTCACAGTTGTTGCTTTTTTTCCCCCTATTGTTGTTTTTCAAGAGCAAGATGACAAGCAAACCGAATAACGCTGCGTTTCTTTAAAAATATCAGAGACTACAGAGAGCAGAGATTGTGAATCTTTATGGTATCTTGTTCTGAACTGGAATGCTGGGATTCTGGCCAGATGAGTGAGTCCCTGCTTGGTGACCAACATCACAGCTGTGTAACATACGCCAGGAAGGAGCCACTTCCTGAGAGTCAATGCCCCTGCCCTCAATGGCTCCTCACCACAATGAGAAAGCATGTAAATGTATTTATTTTATTTATTAGTACTTTTCGAGAAACTCCAAGCATGGTACAATAGCACACAACATACTGTATAAAACAGAAGCAAAAAGAAAATGAAAGAAAAAGTGCAGTGAAATGACTTACTGAAACCAAGGGTAACTTTGTAAATTGGTTTTGAGTGGGTGGTAGGGCACCTTTTGTGTGGAGCCTCCTCCAGACTGGTAAGTAAATCCTTCATCTTGTTCTAAACCATCTAGCACCTTACATGTACAGTATGCCAAAGAACTAGATAGGCAATTCCAGGTTTTCCTGGAACCCCGTTAATGTTATGGAGACATGTGTTCATGCAGATTACTTTAAATTAATACAAAGATGGTTGAATTCTGATCATATTCTGAAACCTATTTTGTACTTTAGGTAGAGTATACCCGAGTAAACAACTGATAACAGTAGTAGACCTTTAATAAAGTCAATTAAGACAAGGCATATTTCGTGGTCACACCATGGCTTTTACTGAACAATATTATGTAAGATGCCCCTGTGATATTCCTAATATTCACCTCAAATTTCAGCACAGCCAAAAACGACATTAAAGAAAGCAATACTGTGATGCTGATGATGGGAGTATTTGAGGAAAACCTTGGTCTTTCAGTTTACCCTAAGACTAAGAGCTTGGCTGCATCCTCATCTTAATGTTAGACAGATCAGCAAATGTTGCGGTGGTAAACAGATACAGTATTAGTATATAGATGTTTTGGAATTAGATATGAGAGTCATCAACATAGCAGTGATACCCAAATGATAACAAATAATATGACCGACCTGGGGGGCATCATGTAAATACTGATGTTCCAGCACAGAACATCCTGAGTAAGTGAAGAACATCAGCCATGATTAACTAATTAGCTGCTGGCTTTCAAACAGAACCAAACCAATGCCAATGAAGGGGACTGCTAGTATCACTAATGTGCTCTGACCTTTTAAGAGCTCATTGAGTGCACAATAAGATTATAATTGAGCTGCTACCTCCTGTGACAGTTTTTTTTTCACGAAAAGGTAAATGGTGGAGGTTGTTAAGCACTTGGCTGGACTGGCCAGTTGTATCTCACACCAGTGTGATAGCAGGAGACTTCAAGCCTGCAGGCACAGGATGAGATTTTAGAAACTCGTTGATGAGGCTAATAACAAATAGATAAATAGCTGGTAAGATAACTTCGTGTAGGGATATAGGAATAGTGTCCAGGGTAGAGGGAGTAGATCACATTTCAGCTACCATCGCAGATAAATAAGCGGAGCAAAAAGCAGTAAACTGTGAGATATGCGTGATTATGTTATATTGTTCAGCAGAGAGAGGAAAAGCAGACCCACTGGCTGGATTTAGGATGTGCAGATAGTGGAGAAAAAGGCTACAGGACTACTGCAAATCATTCAAAAAGAGTGGAATACAGAAGGAGGGTTCTGCCTCCTGAAGCATCCTTATGGCCTGCTGATGTTGGTGCTGATGTAGGCTTATAGATGCACAGCCAGCCTCATCTTCCTCCATCAATGCTCAGAACTCATAAACTGCAGTTCTTTTGTGTGCAGAGAAAGAACCAACCAAAGAAAGGTGAACTTTAATAAATCTACCTATGTATAAACGTTATCAATGAATCTATATTTTATTCTAGGTATGGTTTAGTTTTACAGATTCCACATCCATCCTTTTTTTAACTACAGTACACCATCCAATTCCAGGTCATGGGAGAGCTGGACCCTATCTGGCTAAGCAACAGGCACAAGGCAGGATACACCCTGGATGGGATGCCGGTCCATCACAGGGCACACACTCACACCTAGGGCCAATTTTACTTTCACATCCGTGGTACATATATTAGATTTCTACAGTATTGTCTAAATGAAATCCTGCAGCGAAGAAAAGCCGGATCCTGATGTACTTCTCTTTTGTTAAGAGTCATGTTATCTGTTACACCAGTTATACCAGTTCTTTCCTGCTCCCACTCCCTTGCTGTACCTACAGTACCAATGTGCCGTATATGTATGCATATTCTACTGACAGTATTTTTGGGCTTCCAGCTTTGGGTAGACATTAATACAGGAAGTGTAATTGTATTGCCCAAATAGAGAATTATGAACCCAAGAATGATTCACCTTCCAGAAAAGCAAAGAGTTAATATTTCTCTTTAGTTGTGCTGCTGCTTTTATCAGTACTGTTTGAACATGGACTAAAGTTTGGAGAAAAGGGTCTAAAAAGCTCTTTTTATTTTCTTGATCAAACATCCATTACTGTGCACTCACCCTTCATGCTTAAAGCGTTACTTGTTTCACCTGCTTTGGAAGAGCTGCAACCTGTGGAATGTATTGTTCAAAGATTCTCCCTGGAGAATTAGAATGAGGTTGTTTTAAGAGGTTGAGAATGGCCCTGTACCTGTTCCATCGGGACACTTTCCTCTTGTAGTAGCTCATCGATTCCTGTGGCTGGAGCAGGGTCTCGTCTGGCCCTAGGCGCGGAGTGCGGATGTTGTATAATGGGTGGGTGAAAAGCTGCTCCAGTTTGGATCCCGATCTCACCGTCTGAGACTCGGGGGAAGTTGGCATCCCATCTGATCCCCGTGGAGGACTCCTGGCAGTCATGGAAGTGTTGTGCCAGTGACCCGTGAGCTTGTCGCCAGTGCTGCTGGCTGGAGAATCCCGACAAGTGCATTCATTCCCAAAGTACTTCTCCTGCAGTTTGGGTAGAAGGACAAAGTAAATGTCGGCAGTGAGAATGGTCGTGAGGATGGCAGACACCAGCAGCCTATCTCTTCTCATCCACATGATCGTGGCGTGTTCGGCTCTCTGCAGACTCTCTGGCTTCCCCCTGCTAGCATTCCTGATCTGGCATCCAGCGCTTCTGTCCTGCCAGACTGTACTGAGACAGCAGCAGCAGCAGCAGCATTTCGCAGCTCCTAGGCAACATTCCAGCTGCACCTTCCCACTTCCCTGTAGACTCAGCCCCCGTTCGCACTGTGAGCCAGTCAGAGAGACGGCAGGAGGAACCAGGCGAAATCAAAGGGCTGGTGGATTGCAAGCAAACAGGGAAATGAGCAAACCAGGATCTCCAGCGATGAGGGCAAAGTTTTCCTTCTTTGTTTTTTCAGCATGTTTGTGGAATCCAGCATTGCCTCTGGTTTAGATTAGCACCTTCTATTCTTTCCTTTCTACTCATTTTTTTCCCTCTTTAGCTTCCTCGGAAGTGTACGCACTGTACAAATGTTCGTTTTTTGGCAACTGAGAGGCACAAAACACACTTCTAAGTTTGGAATGCCATTTGTCATCTGGGGGGTGTCAAGCAGAACATGTACAGAGGTGGATCTTATGTTGTCATTGTTCCTGGTGTTATAAAAAAAGAATACAATTGATCTTCAGCATACCATTTCTTAACCTTGTCAAATGTTACTGTAGTATTGGGACAGTTCATAATAATGAAGGTATTGAATGGGATGGTTAAGCTATGTATTGTAAGATAACATAGTATTACATTTTCAATTAAATTCAATTTATTTTTATATAGCGCCTTTCACAACAAGGTTGCCCCAAGGCGCTTAAAGTACTATAGCACTGATAATAAGTAAAGTAACAGTAATAAGAAAAGAAGCATGATTTTGTAAATATTCAAATTAGAAAAGATCATGACCTTTTTACAATTCATAGCACTTTCTGTTAAACGTTAACCCATTAACACAAAACAATTTTAAGTAGAAAATTAATATACGTGTATCGCTACATATTTTACTGCAGTTTGGAAGCATTAAATATGCTAGTAAATATTTTGTACCTTATTGTATTTTTTAAAATGAAATACAAATGTTTATCTTCTGCTGAAGAAGGAAATTCCTTTATATGATGCAATGATTTCCCAGTCATAGATCAAAGAATAATTCATAATTGCCAGGTGTGCAGTTTGGGTAGACCTCTGATTATCAAGTGCTGATCGTGAGAGCTGTGGCAAGTCTTTGCAGTGTGGAATGTTTCATGGTTATTAGGAGTCTATTTTCACTGAATAGTTTCATTGTCAAAGTCGATGACAAGTGCCTGGGACATTATTCTTCTTCGAAGGTTTCTTATGAGGTCAGAGACTAACACTTTATGCAAAATAGATTCCATTTCGGCCACTTATTTTCAGGATCTCAGAATGGCACACACACGGAGGAAAATTACACAGACTACAGGGTCTCACCAAGACATTTGCTGCACACAAAACCAAAGCAGCATACAAAAGTCTAGTGTGACATTTTTGTCACTGCTTTATGGCACTGACACATTGATGGATCTCTCATTTCACTTTTAGATGTCCATCAACGTGGTGTCACTCCTGGGTTGGGAGCTGCCCACTGCCTGCGGTTGCCATGGGTAACTTCAACATTCCCATGAGCACTCACATTCCATCCCAGCCCCTGAGGACTAGGTCAGGCTGTCTATCTGTACATCCCTTGTCTTTCACTGATACAGTGCTCTGACATTGAGCTACCTGGAACAGTGGAAATCCCTGCCTGCTTCATGCACCTGTCTTTATGCGACTCTGATTCTCCGAAATGCCACTTTTATTTCGACTTCCAGAATCTCCTGAAGTTAGCGCCATTTCTGTCCTGTCAGCTACACTGCAGCAGGCTGCCCTGTCTGCCTTTATTCTCCAGGCTTCCAGTCAGCCTCACAGCTCCTGGCTTCCCAGGCCACACATTCCAGTCAGCCATTTTCCTGACTGGACTTTATCCAAACAAACATAAAGTTTGTTTGACAGGTGCTCCTCTGCCCCTTCAGGGATTCGATCACAGCCACTAATCTAAACATCACTCCCAAGACAGCTTCAAGGCTCTGCTGCATCCAAGGGTTGTGTCGAATTATAGGGGTCATTTCAACACTATCCAAGATCCTGAGGGAGGTTTTGTCACCTTCTACTACACATATGGTCCCAGGAAAAAAACGTTTATGTGTAGTTTCTGAGTTCACATGGGCTTTCTTCGAAGTTCTTCCTCGCAGCTCCCAGTGATACACTGGCTAGGTGTGACAGGCTGTTCTAAACTGTCCACTACTCTGTAATCCTGAGGTCCAGAGGTGGTGCAGCCATCTGCTTTCAAGCCCATCCTGCATTTGATGCTTTTGGTTTCCAAGACCCTGATCAGGATAAGTGACTCATAATGGATGGACATCAGGACTTGATGTTAGATAGGAGGCCAATTTTTTTTAGTGTTTAAGCTAAAAGGATTTTACTTAGAGGACCCCCAATTAAATTATCTGACTTTACCATTCACTAACTGGGCATTACCTGAGATTCTTGTACTGTACCTTTAAACAAGATACCGTACTTCACTCCAATTGCTCCAGTAAATGCCTTGCAAGATAAATGCAGTCTCCTGGTCATCCTTGTAAATGAGAAATGATTTAAAAAGGATTTTTTTAAACCCTTGTTCTCAAGGCTGGGTGATCAGTTGGATAGCAGCTCAATGGACACACTCCAGCTCTTGAGGGCACCTTCAGCTGCGTTTTTTTGTGACTTCCCGGGGTTTTTTTTCTTTTGCTTTCCCACTTTGCAGTATAGGCTATTTTTATTTAGAGAAGTGCTGCTTTGAATGATGTTGCCCACTCTCATATCAGTTCATTAACTATTTTTTTTTGTTTTGGATAAATCTATTGGGGTTCTCCAGTGGCTCACACATTAAACGTTCTTCCGACTACAGGGTGAGGCCAGGTTTCAGCCTGAGTCAATAGGAACCCCCAAAAGTTGCCAGTGAGCCTAAAAGTGTTGCTGGTGAAAGCTGCGTCATTCCTCCAGTCAATGCTAAATATGCTGTAGTGGCTGAGGATCTCGTGATAAATCACAGATGGCACAACTGAAGAGAACATCCAAAGCCTTCATTACTACCCCTTTATGTGAGGAGTTTAGTAGTATAGCTGAGCTGATTCCTTATTGCTTGTTCTTGATCCTGATTGCAAGATTACTATCGATTTTCAGGCACGATCATTTTTGCTGTGTGGCTAAACATCTGTTTCATGAGGCTGGGTGGAGACAGAGATTCCCTTAGATCATGCTTTTTTGTGTGTATTTACAGACAATGTTCTCATGGAAAGAAGTGCTACCATTTCATATTTTTCTAGTGCAAAAACTGAGACAGAACAGTCTGATGCTTTGTGTCTTAATTAGCTCGATTCATTGCTTTTTACTATACATTGGTTGTACAGTACCTTGGAAAAGGCAAAAAGCAGCAAAGAAAATAAGGCAGAATTTTTGTTTAATTGTGATTCTGAATGGGGGGGAGGAGTTTTAAAAAATGAACTGGTGATTCTTGCTTTTGATCAATGATGATCAATGTTTTTAGACTGATTATTCAGTCAGCGTGGCCTGGGCATGATAGGTGGATTAAGGACAGTGTTCCTGTGCAGTGCTGTCTTAAGAAACAGCTTAAGAAAGAACAGAGCGAGACCTGGTCAGGAGGGTTTTGTCATATCCTGGGGGGACTAGGGGAGACATTTCACCTTCTAAAATGGTTTTGCAGCAAAGGCATCTGAAAACTGAATCATATGTATGTATTCCAAGAGTGGAAAGCAAACCAACATTCTTTTAAACTACAGCCCTAGATATAAAAAGCCAAAAATATTCATCGTCAGAGGTGCTGGCAGAAAAAAAATTAAACTGGGATGAAGCCAGCACAACATATTTCATCTTGGCTGTTTCCACCAAAAACGCCTGTGTCTTTTGGGGGATTAGAAATAACATCCACTCAGAAAGAAGAAGCTGAAGAGAGATCCATATGAGAAAGAGGTTTAAGATACTGCCTATACACAGTATCTTAAGATATCTTAAGTGGTTTAAGATACTGTGATGTACTTAAATATGCATTTTGGTGCAGGTCTGTATAATGTTCTTCACACCAGCCATGGGTCACCTGCTATTAAGAGTGTCTATTTGTTGGGCTGAGACCTCCAATATTTTGTTCAGCAGATGAATTTTGCTGTAACTTGTAATTAAGATTTGGACATGATGTACAATATCAGGAGTTGTTTGGTGAACTGCTTATTTATGTGCAATTTTGTAGAGCTCTATTGAAGTAGAAAATCCCCATCTGCTGAACCCGGTGTTGAGTAATAAATCACATTTTCTCTTTTCAAGTGTTGCTAAAAGACCTGTCACAACTAGACAAGAATTTTTGTTCAAGTGTGTTACTAAGAAAGGCATAGAAAATATAATAATCTTATAGTAAATGACTACTGTTTGGCACCTGTTACTGCGTCATTGAAAGAAACACATTCTGCACTTGAAATTGTACATTATGAAATTATATGTTACAAGCACAGCACCAAACAGGCAGAAGCTTGTAAACAACATATTAGCGTTCTGTGAACTATATTTCTGCAGTGCATTTGTAATCATAACCATAATTTTTTTTTTTATCAGCCGTGTAGAATGTGATTTCTCTCCCATGTGGAATCTTGCAGCGTGGGTGGGCAGGCTGTATATTCCGTTTCAGTCTTGCTTGGTTCCAGCCACTTCCATCTTTAAATAGACGCTGGGGAGCAAGTTCAGGAAAGTCAGACTGGCTTTGGTTCTGTGCAAGACCACATGCCGGCAGTAGTAGTTGATCTTGTGGGTAGAACACATTTTAAATCTCCATTGAGCTGCTACAGCCTTGAGCCTTCTGGGTCCTCAACACCTGTCTCATTTTACCCCAGTCAGGTACCCTACATACCACCTTCATAACAAAGTGGTCAAGACCATTACTGGATTGATTGGGATTGTGCCAGTATTAGAGCTGGTTTATAAGTTGACCTAATACAACAAAGAGTATTGTTAAAAATGAGCACTTTGGAGGATTAATATGTGGATCACAGACAAATGGCACCATGGGGAATTTGTTGAAATGGACAACTACAACACAAATCCAAGGGAACTACATCGGCTCGGTCTGAACACTGTGTATGATGGCTTATGTGAATGGAAGGACATGGTACACTACTGTAAAAGTGAGTTCAGGTCCACAGTCATTGTCCATGGTTGGATCATGGGGAGGAAAACTACTTGTGTATGAGATGTCTTTGTGCTGCGGTGCATAGTTTTCACAAAACAGTTGTTTGAAGTGGGTCAACTAACTTTTATAAAAACCTTGTACTTAAACTTTAAATTACCATATAATCTCATAGATGTGACACAAATTTCAGACTGCCACCATGTTTGTGAGATTCTGAATGACGACTTTGTCATTAATAATTCTGTTTGAGCTCACTTGATCTTCCATAAAATAATAAGACAGGAAAGTATCTGTGAACATTTCAGATCTACTGCATATGAAAAGTAAGGATATTGCTAGGTTTATATCTAAAGCAGCAACTTCAGAATTCATTTCACAAATCTTTTATCCTAAATTTAATTGAATTGTATATTTGCATTTGAGGGGCAACTGTATTGGAATACATTGTATAGTTTGTTTTCAGGTGTTTGGACCACAACGTCGGCAATCAACTGTTGTAGAGTAATGTGATTTTCTTACCAAATGTGAGAAGTGTTTGACTCTTCAAACATGGCAACTCTTAAGAGAGTTCCAAAAATAGAGTCCCTGAGGAATTTCATGACAACAGATTTGAAACTGAATATACTGCTGAGGAACCTCAGTCAATAAAATACAAAATACTTTTTTTTTAAATCCACCGCTGTCATATGACGAAAGACAGCGGTTCTCAGAGTTCATACAGGTTTTCTGTGGTGGATTGTCTGCCATTGAAGTGGTTTACTCTGCTTTGAGCCAGCTGCTGAGGTGTGTCCATAAGGAAGAGGGTGGTGGAGTGGCTCAAGACCTTAGCTTTCTTTAGTCCAGAGGCAGCCTGCTCCTGACAATGGTTCTGTCCGGGTCTTCAGCTTGGTCATTATCCGAGCTATGACTTGTCAGTGGCAGAGACTTCAGATCAGCCTCATTTACACACTTCAGCCCTTTGCTCAGCATCCAAGGGCTCATGGGTAAATCACAGGGCAGCTGCAGCTCCTGGCATTCCTAATGGAAGAAAGAGAGCAAGGGGGGAATTACCTTGTGCTGACCCCCTGTACAGCATGTCCATGTATTCTCATACAGGCTGTACTTTCTTTGCTCAATTCTCCTTTAAACGCTGCAGGATTTCAGATCTGGGCAAAGTTCTTCCCAACAGCCTTAATGTTCCAAAATCAGAGACATGTCAACAGGAAAGATTTCAAAATACATTTTAATTTCTGTTTGTGCATTTCTGTTCTAGGTTTGACACATGTAATTATTCTATTTTATTATATTACTCCACAGCAATGCCCGAATGGATTTTATTGCAAGTCTTCGGTGGTGGTCTTATAGCTGACTTCAGTGCTTGCAGACGCAAGCAAAGGCTGAAGAAGAGCTGAGAAAATGGATCAGAAATTTGTCACATTCATTCCTCTTTGCTCACAGCCTAGAGAATAAATCTTTTATCTGTTTTTCCACTCTCTCTTTCTCTGCCAGTGAGACCAAGATTTGCCCTAGATGTACGTCTAATAAACCAGACCTTGGCTTGCATAAGAACAACAGAGGCAGCAAAAAAGATGCAATTTGCCCCCTCTTGCTCATGTAGTAACCTATAAATCTGACAGTCTAATCTAGCCATTTCTTATCAGAGTGCTGGACAAATAAACCTTTTGTGTATGGAGCTACAGCAACAGATAGACAACCAGCTAGTTCTGGCTCTGACAGTCCACTAAATTAGTGCATTTCTTCTGACACTGGTTCTCAGTCCATCAGTTATTTGCTGTGTGTGAAAAAGCATAGAGCAATGCTACACCTCCTCCTCCGCAGTCTTTATGGTCATTATTATTGACAGGGTTACACAGAGGAAACTGGATTGGTGAACAGATCAAGAGGAAACAAGAGATCAAAGGTTCGTTCGTGGGACTCACTGGAGTAGCCAGAGCTTGGAAGGGCGTGCAGACACTCCCAACGCGGGCGAGCTTCCTGGAGTCAATGTCTCCGAATGCCAGGCGACGCTCAAGTCGAGCCACTGTCTTCCTCAGAAGACCCTGTTCAACCTGCACTCCCAGAGCACTCTGGGAAATGTGACAGCAGAAGGCCTGAGTCTCTGGCCCAGTTCTCAAGGTATGAATCAATCAGGACTGAAATAGCACTCATTCCACCTTGAAGCTTCTTCCATTCAATATTACTACTATTTATGTATTATTATTGAATATAATAACTACTACTAATTTACCATAATTTAAGCCTTTTTAAAAGTATGTTAAAGCCCTTAGTTTGTACAATGTATGATACAGTGTAGAAACGTAAGATTTCATTAAAATTTCAATATTTTACATCCCTCATTAACATGTCGGAACACATTTTTATGATGATTTCATGATGTTGTGGAAAATGTGTTGCAGATTTAAAAATAAGTACATTATCATATGTTAGTACTCAATAAAGAGCAATGACTCTTTAAGTAATAACTGTATTCCACTCTTTATTTGATTTATTTGATCAATTTTTACCTTTAAAAGGAACAACGAAACCATGCCTAACCACACAATATTTATTGAGTGGTTAGGCATGGGAAGTTTTGGCTTAACTCACTTGGTTGAGGGCCAATGCTGGCTGTAAGACGAGGAAATTAGAACTCCCAAACATGATAGAGAAGCTGACTAAAGGGGAGATGCAAATGTAGCTGGGTGGAGGAGGGATGCATTTGACAAATTTGAGGAAGAGAAGTTTACTTAAGGTATTTATAGCCTTTGGGAAATGATGTCAAGGATGATTACCAGTTAGGGCAGCTGAGATGAAAGAGACCTTGGTTGTTGTCATCCCTGCCGAATGTTCGTTGAATACTCTTTTTAAAAAATGTATTTTGAAAATTACATATAGTATCTCACTTTGTGTTGGGCTGAAGTTGTGAGGCATTTCATTGATGACGCTAGAATCTCATTTGGAATTACTAGCGTCTATCAGGCCAATCAGAATAGCATCACGTCTCTCACTGACATCATTCCAGGCTTGCAGGAACCTGGGAGTCACCTCTGCACTGAACTGACCCTGGGTTAAAGACTATTTAAGCAATGTTACCACACTGCAATTTGGGGTTTATGCTTTAGGGCACAAACTGTGCTAAAACTGTGCTAACAGCATTATAGGTGGAACCAGGCTGTATTCTCACCTTGGTGTGTGGTGCCTTGGCAGGATTGTCCAAGAGGCCGGAGGCTGGGCCTTCTGCCTCCCTGGAGTCCAGTGAAGAAATGAAAGACTGTGTGAAGCCTGGAAATTGTAAAACAAACCTTAGCTTACCATAGAAATATAGAATTGTGTTCTGATGTCACCCATTTTAGCAACTTCATGGACACTGCATTCATTAATCAATGAATTAAAGAATGGTGCATATCGTATAGATAAAGCTACTAGAAAAAAATGTTTTGCAAACTTTTTTGTCATTGCTTAATCTAATCTGAGTAGGCTTTACTGTGTCCTGAGCTGTGCCAGTAAGACAAAAAAAAACCTCATAAACCTCCCCCATATTTTTTGCTGAGCTGCCTCGTTAGACATTTTAACACAGGGTTTTGCAACTCTGAAGTAAACATCCTGCAGTTGGGGCTGACTAGGATTATCTGTTTAAAAATTACACACATCACCCAGTTCTAAGAGGTAATCTAAGCCATGAACCCAGACACCTAATTCACTCCAAACTGTGTCTAGACATTAAAAAGCAGTAGTGCACACCCTGCTAATTTCATCTCTCTGCCACGAATGTCGTTTCACAGTTTTTCTCCAAGTTGCTTTCCTAACCTGCCACTCTCCTTCCAGGACTGTCTCGGCTCCCACCGATAGCTTTTTTTGGCAGACCAAAGAACCAGGAAACAGCACAGGAAGTTCCCCTACAAACCCGTGTCTGTCTGATGGGGGACTTAAATTTGCTTTTCACCTGAGGCCATTACAGAACATCACTCGCAGTTGAAGGAGTGACAGAATTTAAAATTGATGGCTAATATTCCGTCTAGTGAAAACCTCTCTTGATAGCTGTATTATTTATATTTAGCTATAGTTAATTATAACTTACTCCTTATAACTTATTGTTCTTTTTCATTTGTGAAATTGGTTTAGAATATAGTGTTCTTTCCAATGAATGAACAAAAAAATCAATGAGTGTCTGTTAGGCCCATATCCTTTTCATACTGTAAAAGTAATCTACACCTGGATGTGCAGGAAATGTGTAACACACAACAGGCCTGAAGAAGATAGAGTATGCTTGGTTAGTCTGTATCAGTGATGAGGTTCATTAAGGACAGTAGTTTCCCCACCCTGTCACTGTGACGCATTTAAAATTGCACATGCTGCCTCGAGCCCCAACTTCAGCATCTTACCGAAACCAAATGAGTTGTTAGTGTGGTTGATTGTAATGGTAAGTGAGCACTATGCTATTGAAGACATTTGCGGTTCATGTTTCCCGTGAATGTGGGACTGTTTATAAAAGGCCAGGCCTCTGAGCGACTGAAGGGACCTGACTGGCCAGGAGGGAGGGGTCCCAGTTTTCCCTGCAGCTGTCACGCAGATTGTGGCTGGCAGTAATATTTTGACAGACTCTGTTTTTCACATCCTTCACAAACACTTTGCTGCAGTTTCTATTACACACAGATGTTAAATGTAAAAAAAAATCTTGAACTCTGAGTAAAAGATTGAGCAAAAGCTTTCCAAGAACAATATTGCTGGTTTTTGAGCTGCTCCGATGGTTTTATTAATTCCATATCTTGGATTGCCTTACTGTTGCAGCTGGACCCTGTGGGATGCCCAATAGGAAATGGTTCTCTGAGCTGTCAACATCTTTTTCCCGATGTTTCAACGGAGCCCAGTCAAAATACTTTCAGCTCTTCCTTTTTTGATCTGTATTTTTCCAAAGCTGCGTATTTCTAAGAAATGTTATTATGTGTACTGTTGACATTTTTTCAGATTGTAAGATTCTTCCTAATGCTCTCCTCGCACTGTTTGTATGATTCTATGATCCTGACATAAGCAAATGTGAGCAAAGATTTAAACCGAGGCTTTGATTTTGTAACAAAGCATTACTCCTTATACTGTATATGTAAATAGGTTTGTGACAGTATATTCATGTCATGGTTGGGAAGAGCTGGCGTTAATGTGAGGTTGTCAGAGCCTCTTCAGTAAACAGTCCTTTGTTTAATTCTTTTTTTTTTGTGATCAGTTTAACGTTTGACCAAATACTAAAACGTCAAAAATTCCCTTTGTCAAGAGCAAAGCATGGAATAACAAAAATACTTTGGCAATATAGCCCAGAGATATACACAGAGAGATACACAGAGAGATGAAGAAAGGTAGAGTGTTAGTAAAGAAAGTGGAAAAAAAACACATTTGTCAGATCTGTTTTACTGTGCCTGCACAACGTTCAGAGTCTTCTTCTTGCTGGGCTCCATCCTTCCAGATTGTCTCCCCACTCTGGCCTGATGCCTCCTCCTGAATCAATCTTTGCTCTTTGCTCGGAGACAGGCCACTGACAGACTGCTGTCTAACACCAGTCTTCTCCTCTTCTTCCTCCTCTTTCTCTATTTCCCTGGTATCACTCCAGGGGTCTCTGCAAGACGTACAGTAGCAACGATGAGAAAAATAACCATTAAAGAAAAGCCCCAAATATGACCAACTATTTCATTTTGATACAGCTTTCGGTTATGTTTTTCCCTGTCTTTTCTAAAAACCTGTCTTTTCCCAACAAGGACCTTTTTTATCTTCCATCTTCTCACAGAGAAGGACTGAAGATCATGAGGGTGCCCTCCAATTTCATACTCCAACCAGATCTTCCTGGGTAATTCTGATGACCTATATTCTAGAAGCTAGTAAAAATAAAATGAGGTGATCCTGCCTTCTTTTTTGTTCTTATACATAAGAATTTGACAATCAATTTTATTTTTCTACCAATCCAATCCATTCTGGATCACAAGTTCTATACAACTCAGATTTGTGACTGCTGCTCCTGTAACTCTTAGATGGGATTGTGGCACACAGATATGCTGCTTGATCAGGCCCACCTACAAACCCGTTTGATGCTTTGCAGTCATTGCAAGTTCCACAATACCTGAAAGTATCAGTGCATTTCTCAGTCACTGCAAGGATGAAGGTACCCAGCAGGTCTTTGCCAGAAAACCAAGAGAGCCCTGGCTGACTAACCCCTCTCAACCACGTGTGCAGAACCACTGCAGAAATCCTCATCATAGTCACTTGCTGACATATCCCAGACTTGGACCAACAACCTCTGGACACTGGGGCTCAACCTGTATTTTGAGCAAGCATACATGTTGAGTCATGAGGGAGACTAACCATTCCTTTCTCTGCCAAAAAGTGCTCTGCTTACAATTCTGGGGGTTTATTTATCTCCTGGTATGAGTGCTGTTGATTGAGGGGTAATAGTCTTTGATACTGCACTTTGTGGAGTACAGGTACGTCTAGGTTATTTCATTTCTTCACTTCATTGCACCATACTCTAGGCTGCCATAACCAGGAACTTTTGTCCCCGAGGGGCGCAGCTGTTTTCCTGCTGTGGTCAGTGCCCACATGCTGGCAATCACTGTACCTCTCAGGCAGTGTGGACTGATTATCTGGGCCACCCGTGGGTGTGTGCGGTTGAAATATTAAGTTTTTATGTGGACCGCAGGTACCAGCAGTTGTGCTTTTACTCCTATCAGACAAGCCACAGAATTGCAGGAAAAAACTGGAACATTATACCACATTAATAATACGGCCAGTTACAATGGGTAACTTTCTCCATCCACACCTACTGACAGCCTCTGCTCCCCCATCTGGTTCCAATTAACTATAATTATTGCTAGACCATCACAACACTTACAGTACTCTACAAGTGTATTTGTTTGAGTCGTCTGGCTGCAGTGACAGGGTTTTTTTTTCTATTTTGGCAGCTATCACGAAAGCTCTGCTGTCTGTCACTCCCATTGTTCGGGGTTAGATCTGTTTTTGGGTTGTTTTTGTGCTTTTTGCCCATTTTGACTCAAGTCAGACAGAACATTCCCACAGCAGTTGCAGTGATGCAATGTAGAGCTGAGCTACCAAGATTGAAACCACGCCCAAAGATTCGATCAGGGAGTTTAAAGGATTAGTGGCCCATTATCTCATGAGTCATTCAAATAAGTTTTTTTTATTTTCACACTAAACTCCCAGTTTCATTAACTCTTTATCAATTACCTACAAGAGATAAAAGTTGCATTTTTTTTCTTATTTGTAGTTACAAATGAAATTTCAAGAGCATGTGTTGTTCAATGTGGCTGAACATGATTAGGACTCAAATACTACTGTGTATTTGTACTGTTTGTATTTATTTTTTTCTAGCACAATAATTTACCGTCTATATAAGTGGATTAATGCCTGCAGGTACTCACAATCTTTTCCACTGAGGTCTAAACCCACTGGAGTTTAGAGTAGATGTAATGTAGTTAAATAACTGTTTAAGCAGCAGGTGAGATGGCAGGGAATAAGTGACTGTGCTATAGTCCAAGTACCTGGGATGTTGATATGTAGACGGGTTATTCAGGTTCCATTTCTTCTTCTGTCCAAATGTGCCCACGTAACACCCATTGCAGGACCACAGCCTAGCAGTCTGGTCTGAGGAGGCACTGACCAGGAAGAGCTGGGAGCTGAAGAGCAGCAGCTCCATGCTGACCACTGTGCTGTCATGGGCTCTCCAGCAGTACAGCAGGGGAGGGCAGCCATTGACTGCCTGGTGGGAACAGGTCAGGGTTGTTTAATGACAGGGGCTTGAGTTATACTTTTGTTGCTACTAAGATCTGCAGAGGCATGCTTAGGGGAAATACAGTACATATTGTGTAGGAAGGTAGCACTTTCATCTTTCCTATGGAGTTTTGTGTATGGTAGTAGATAAACTCAAATATTAAAGACACTTAAAATGTACTAAATTATAAAAGCAGTTTACCTCATGACATGTGCTGCAAGCCTGTAAACATTTATTTACAAACACACACACATTACAGAAGTTGATCTTACTGTGTAAAGCCAATTAGTATAATTCAGTGTTCTTGAGGAGGTATATGTGTGTGATGTACATTATGTCTTAGGTAAAGTCATAAGCTCTTCAATCTCATGTAGATGACCATCCCATTCTGTTGTAAATTGTTATTCTTCAGCCCACATGGGACAGTGTGACACATACAGACAGGAAGTAAATTGAGAGGACTAAACGTTTGTTTTTTTTTACATTAGCCATATTTTACTGTATGTAATGACTTGTGAGCTTTACCTTATCGCCAGGCTGTAGCCTGAACTCAGAGATGTCCCACACCTGTATGAAGCCTGCAGTGTCCCCAGACATGAGGAGGCTGTTCTCCTGGTCTGTACACAACCCCAGAACAGACTCATCTGTTCTCTTTGGGGCATAGAACTGCCCTGAAATAGGATATCATAGTGCCGTCAGTGACAATATGTTTAAGATGCATCTTGATTGACTGAATCAGATGAAAGCAGAAACTTAAAATTTGAAAAGATTTTCTTCTGTTTTATAAAGTGGGGGATAACAGGTGAGATAGGGGCAATTTCAGAACTTGTAAAATTTAACTTTAAAAGAGGCCAAACCAATCATTGCAGAAATTCGGCAGTGACATTTGTATCACTCCCTGCCTCTCTTATCAAAAAGAGGACTAATCTCCTGTTGTTTTTCATTGACCTCTTTTAAACTTGACCAGTCAGTTTATTCATGGGGTCCACGTCTTCACCTGTGTAGAGCTCAGTGTATTTGGCATTCACTTTGGTGTTGACTCTGCAGTCTTCAGTGTGCAGCTTCTCCATGAGTTACCGTGTTTACGAGGTGATCCCATCACGCTCCACCAACAGAGGAAGCCTGCCTCTGAGCTGACGAGGAGCGGCCCATTTCTGCACTTCCTGTCCTCGGCACGGAACTTCAGAAACAACAGCTTATCCACTGGAGGCTGAGCCCTGACAGCAGAGAATCACATGAAAATGGAAAGTATGGGAGGCTGAGAAAGTGAACAAGGTGCTGTATCTTTGACTGCTTCTGCCATCAATTCAGTATTTATTTTCCAGAACACTTAGCAGGCTTTATATTTAGGGGGTTCGGCCTATAGTAGCAGATGGGTTACTTCTCCACTTTCATTATTTTTTCAGTACAACACAGTTGAATTAGTCCAGTTTAGTGCTATTGTCTTTCCAATGTGTGAAGAACACAAGAGGGACCTCCATGTCTTTTTGTGACAAGCTGTGTCATTTATTTTTAGTCATAAGTGGGCTTCTTTCTGATTTCAATTTCTTACTCTTTACTTTACCCCTTGTCCCTGGCGTGAGCTCTTCTGTGTCTGGAGTTGGGTCTGGGCTGCATCGTTTTGCTGGTGGGCTCATCTGAGGTGTTGAGAGTCACGCCAGGGCTGTCTCTGTACAAGATAAATAGAAGGAGGTTGTGGAGCAGAGATGCTCAGTAATGGAATAGGAGCTCTGTGTGGAAAACTAAGCTGCTGCAAGTGGTGTTGGTGCACTAGTAGGTGACAATCACCCCTCATGACCAGAATTTCCAACAAAAGCAAAGCCCTACTAAAACAATGTGTTGTAGGAGGTGATGTCCTTTGGATGAGACATTTAAACTAAGGACCTAAATATTTGTTCTTTGAAAAATCTAATTGATTTGCATTATCCACAGTATCCTGGTACAAATTCCATTGTGTGTTTGTACATCCCTTTTAACATTTATCACTTAATTCACTGTAAAATTTCTAAAATGTACTTCAAATATATTTCAGGATTGCAATTTATATTATAAGCAATGTAAAGTTCTAGATTCTAGAGTGGCACAATTATAGTCTGCGGAGCAAAGAAAAAATCTGTTTGAATTTAAGAATGTAATGTGAAACTGTAGAGCAACAGAGTACTTGTACTGCAGGAGTCTGATCCCTGTAAGTGTTGAATGCAGTAGCTGTTCTGCAGTGATCTTGGTTGTCTTGTGCCACACTCACGCTGTGTGTGGTGCCCTGCGGAGGTAGACAAAGGATCTCTGTGTATCCAGGGTCCAGACGATAAGCTCTCCATCGAAGCTGGCTGTCGCAAGCAGCCCCAGAGAAGGACAGTAGTCCACAGCCAAGATATCATCAGAGTGCACCTGGCCTCCCTTCCAGGACAGGTCTGCAGGCACATAGGTCTTCTGAAAGACCACAGAACAGAGACGTTTCCCTGTGTAGCCTGGTTTTGCACATCAAACAGTTAGATGGAGAGAATGTCAATGTTTTTAATAAATCTGTCCACTTCAACAAACCAAAACATATATTTGGTAAACCAGAGAGGAGTGTGAGTACTGCTTGTTTTCCAGTCATGCTTTGATGTGAAATACTGTTGATGTGTTTATTCTTAAACATTATTTTCTGCTTCTTAAACATTTGCCACTTCCAAGACAATGTATATTTAACTTAACATTAACATCAACATTACCTTAACGTTAACAAATCGACAATTTTGAAAATCTGTGCTGTATACAAGTACACTCCCTCACCCCAGGGTCTGTGATGCTGTAAAGGGCTAGCTTTCGATTCCATCCCACAGTCAGGAGTTTGTTGTCCTGGAAACAGATGACCCCTGTGACTTCTGCTTCAGCTATAGCCTCCAGTTTGTGAAGATTGTGTCCATTCTGGATGTTCCATACCTGTAAGGAGAAGAGGGACCACTGACATAAATTATTTCTTATGGCTAGCTCTCCTGTGCAGTATACTTTATTCTGACTGGAAATATAAGTGCCTTTGCACAGCTGAAATGCCTTCTATTTGGGATATGGAATTTGGCAGTGTTGGGTAACATTGGCTTATGCCCAAAAGTCTGAAAATTGTTGTCGTTTTTTTCATGTGTACTGTATTGTCATTAGCGTAAATACATTGTAAAGTTGGATCCCAATCATGTTGTTGCAAAGGGGTATTTCTGAAAGGATTTAGAGATGGATGGTATTAATTAAGACCTCAGTACAGAAAGAGCTTTCATGAATAAATTAGAATTTTTATGTTTTTATCTAGGGATCAGACATCATACTCTCATTGTCCAGAAGGATCCAGAATTTGTGAATCACAAAACATTTTCTACACTTTTGTCATCACGGGTTTTGTAGAATTACATCTGTACTCCCGTGTTAGGACAGATGCATTGCAAGCTACATTGGAAGAATATGTGTTTGTCTTGAAGCAAAGTGATCATGGATGTCACGGACGTCCAAAGGGACTAACCGTGGGGAGCAGGAGAGCAGAAAAAGACCCATATGCGTAGCGGCGAGACGGAAAAAAGGCCCGGGCTCATTAGTGCAAACAGTTCAGGAATGCCGTATAGAAACCTATGCCCTCAGGGAGCGGACGTGGGGCGCCCTGGTGCTAGGCGGGGTCTCAGGACATCCGAACAACAATGCTGAGTGAGGACAGAGTGCAAGACCCGGAAATATATAGCCCAAGGAAGAGAGGGACAGGAAGGACAGCAGACCGGAAACTAGGGACAGGACAGAGAAGGAGCGCCCTCTGGCTGCAGAGGGCGTGACAATGGATCCCGGCACGTTTTAGATACTATAAACTCATTGAGAGCATCACAAGAGGACTAGCTGAAGCATTGTAAATTTTCAAAGGTGCAGACAAAAACAAACTTAATGGACCTCTTCAAGCTCAACAGTGAAAAACAAGTGTAAACTAACAGGGACATCATTTTAAGATGAAGCACATTTTTACCCAAAGAGCTGTAGGAATCTTGAACAAGCAAACCAGCCACATTGCTGAAGATGACACCTTGGTTTCTTTCAGAAAGTGACTGGAATCCTTGTTCCAGGACTCAAATCACTAGGTCAGCCATCTACAGTACAAGCAACCAAATATTTTAGAAGGGCTGAATGGTCTCCTCTTGTTTGTAGGTTTTTCCTTTCCTTTTATACGAAGCATCTGTATTATATAAACTCTCATAACAACCCTCATTAAGTTTAGCAAAACAACCTGTAGTATAGTATACAGTGTGGATATACATGTACTGTATTTCCCATGTTCTTTATCCCTTTAGTAAAGATAGTGAGCAGAGTAGTTTGAGCAGGACTGCAGGACATCTTGTTTGTTGTGGAAGGGAACAGGGATGGGGCTGGGGGCAGTCAGTGTTGTACCTTGATGGCCCCATTGCGTGCCCCAGTGATCAGCCTGCGCTGTGTGGTATCCAAGGCCATGCATGTGATCTCCTCTTGTCCATGGACGTTGCTTAGCTGAAGACACTTCGTCCCAGTCTCCACATCCCACACAGCAACTGTGGAATCATCACTGCCTGTAACCACCTAGCAAAAGCACAAAAGACACTTATATGGCTTCTAAAAAGGACAGAATTTTTCTTTTTATTGCCCCAATTAGGAATCATGAAGTCAATTCAGTTCACTACTGTATCCATTATACCAGCCCAGTTGGGATGTAAACATGCAGTCCTACCTGTACATACAAATGTGTCATTGTCATGCCTTTTTTTGTACTGTGAGGCCTACTACATCTCCAGCAGAGTTAACAGTGGAGATGTGAAGCAGCTCTCCCTCCCAGCTGCACTTATCAGATGGAGAAGGGATTGGCATGGGGGTGGTGCAGACCTGTTTGAAGAAGGGGTTGTAGAGAGCGCAGGACAGCGGTGCACTGTGTGTGAGGAGCCGGTCTCCCTCAGCACCCCCGCTCTGCAGTCGCAGCAGGGCCAAGTAGTCCCCACATGACACCAGAAGCACATGGGGTGCAGATGTCAGCAGCAGGAAGGGGAAGTCTCCGTGCTCAACAGCGCGGCCAGCCTGCACACAGGGGAACTTCAGAAGCAGAGTCCGCAGGCAGCACAGAGAGGAGATGTCCCAAACTTTCAGCACCTGCCAACACCAACAACAGAGAGACATTTTTGTCAGTGACAAGGGTGATTTTTTCCAATGTACGTTTTTGATCATTCATGTCTTCTGATCAGCAGGTACTTTGAGATATTTAGGCACTAAATATAACAGATATTGACTGGCTGATTGAGTCATTCTTTGACTGGTTGCCAAAAGCAGATTTTACCCATGAAACCCATGTATGTTTGAAGCCGGTGAATCACTTTAGTTTGCAGATAATATTCTTTTTTATTAATAGATGCATGAAATCAGCATGTGATTTCAGCAATGTGAATAGAATAGTTCAGGTTGCTCATTACATAGTAATGTATTCATAGCAATGTATTGGTACTGTATATTAGGAAGAAGTGACTGTTATTGCTTGACTTCTGAAACCAGCTTCTCAAGATCAACCTGGGCAATCTTATTGTGTTTGTGTATATTTGTTAGTGTTAGAGTTTACAATAGTGTGCTTAAAGTGTGTAAATCCCAGGAACCAAAACCTTACAGCATCTTTGGAGTAGCTAAATATCTGGCCCAGGGGCTCGTAGATGACCACGTCCAGCACCGCCATGTAGTGTCCCTGCAGAGTGGCCACAGGGCGACTTGTCACGTATTGGTTCCACAGGCGGACAGTATGATCCACCCCCCCTGTCACCAGCAGATTCAGGGACTTACAGAAGTCAAAGCATGTGACTCCCTGAAAAGACACAGGTAAATGGTTAGATTTTCTATGACTATCGATAAGAAAGAGTAAGATACTAGAATCAGAGCACAGTGCAAGTGAATCTGTATTTATTATCTTTTTCCATTTATTATGTACTGTAAGTTTCAGAACAGTTAGGTATTCCTGCAGCATTTACAAAAAGTCCAAGAGAGTGCCTAGTTTATTCTTTGATTCCTCTTTTATTAAAACTGCAACACTTATCCTCAGGATTTCTGTTTTTCTCCTACTCCTACTCAAAGTGAAGAAAGTTAAAAATAGATTGAAGGACTGAAATGCATGTTTTATTGCTAACATTTTTACTTCCCATGGCTATTCCCTCAAGGAGCAATACACAGTTTAACCTGCGAGTGTGTTTCTTATTAAAAATATAGCTCAGTTTTAATTGATCTTGGTTGGTGATGTTTACCTATGCTGTCTAATGGTTTTAAAGGATAATGCTGGGAACAGCTTTGGTATCTGAGTCAGACTGATGATTTATTCTCATTGGAAATTGTTTTGCTAAAAAAGTATCTCCTGGCTGCCAGCAACATTTTTTTTTATCCATGGAAAAACAAAAGAATGCTTTTGTACCATTTTCCATGTCCAAATAAAGAAAAATGATTTCCCAGTAAACAGCCAACAATTCAAAGAACATGTCCTTATTTCCCCCATATCGCTCTTCTCTGATTTCTCTTGCTCTCCTTTCTCTAGTCCACTCACAGAACAATTATTTGACATCTGGAATATTAATAACAACTAATTGAATATCTTTATGACTTTGAAGTGTTCTGTGCTATTTAATTCGTTTTGCCTTATACTACAGTATGTGATCAGGTATCAATTGCTTGAGTAAAATGCACAGCATGATCAAGGTATGTTTCCAGTTAGTGCTCATTTGCCAACAGAAAGCAATATTTTGGAAAAAGTTCAGACCCTCAGGATTCCTTATAGTTCCCAGAGGAGGTAATTCAAGTATGTGTGCAGCACTGTATTTTGCAAAAGAAGAATTTGTGTTGGAATTATTCAGTGTCCCATTTATTTGAGTTGCATATGTATGTGTTTAAAAAGCTGTAAGAGCCATAACGAAACAATGCAAATATTTTCAAATACTAAATGATAATTACAGTAGATGCACTGCTTACTTGACTTACTTCTGTGAGGCATTAAAACTACAATTAAAGCTCTTGTCTCAAATACTCATTAGTTGCATTTTTAATGTCTCTCGGTACAGTTTTCCTGTATTAAATGCTTTTTAAAATCACTTTACTACAACAAGGTAATTGTAAAAATGTGCTCCTTTGTTACTGCATGAGTACTACTGTGTTTTTGTCTTGTCTTAACTGTTATTCACTGTACAAACCCAGACATAGTTTGCATTGCTTTACTTGCAATAATTCATGATGTTATGGTTTGATTATTCATGATCCTTCCTATGTTTCTTTTTGTTTCTTATTCAGTATCTGTTCATGATTTAGATGAAATGTGACCGAGCTTGTTACTTATCAGTCACTGATGTTACTTGCTTGTCAAGTGCAGGGTGCCCTTGTGTGACCATTTCAGCCTTGATTGACGTCCAAATGTCAAATGTTTTCAAATTGACTTTTCTGGCAGTGTGAGATAGAAAGTTATTTGTACCACTCTTTCCCCAGTCTTGTAAGTATCAATGCCAGAAATGTGTAGGTGGCATCATGAAAACGAAGGAAAATTTAGTAGTTATAAAAAGGCAGTGTCTGTCCAATTCAAACGAGCACTCCCATAAACTGTCCAGTTTTCCAAGAGCACTGCTGGTGTGGCCTATTGTCAGCCTATTGCATGGCACTTTGCATGATATGCAAATGTATGCTCAGCTGCACACTGGGAATTATCTCAGTATCTCAGTGTCACCTACTGTATGTCAAGACAGTTATTAGTGATTTATTTAGTTGAAGTTTTTTTTCTACTTTATTAGTGGAAGTGACTTTTAAAACCAAGAACATGGCATTCTTCTCTATCCAAAGAGTTGTGGGATTATGGAACAAGTTAACCCACCATGTTACTGAAGTCAATATCCAGGCTTCTTTCAAGAAATAGCTGGATGAAATCCTTGGATCTACAGTATTACTGTAGCTACTAACAACAAAACAAGCTAGGTGGGCCAGTTGTCTTCCCCTCGTTTGTAACCGTTTTTATGTTCATGTCCTGCCAAGCTCACCTTGTTGATTTTCCAGGTGTAACTCTTCTTTTTGCGGGGAGCGTCCATGATGACCACCGAGGTGGAGGAACTCCCTGATGATGTGATGATTAGATCGCCACTGCGCTCGTAGCAGATCCTGCGGATGGCCTCCCTGTGAACCCCAGGAATGAGCTGATAGGAGACCAACCGGATGTGATCGCGGATATCCTGCATGAGGCCAGTGACAAACATTCAGCCGTGATCAACCAGAGGGATTCTTCACACCTTTTCAATTTTTCTAATGACATATAAATTGCTTAATCAGTGAACTTGAACGGCGGTTTATGGTCAAGATCAGAGAGTGCCTGCTGTTGAGAAAACCCTAGCAATGTCATCAGGTTTACTGAAATGATTTTCACACCACGACTAAACGCTGTAATGTGCTCTTCCATACAGTGAGGTTTAGAAAATGTGATCTTAAGGAAATACTCAGGAAATAAATGGAATGGCTGACTGGGAGCATTGATAGGGTGATTCTCATTGGCTAGAAACATAATTCAAGCTTGAAATAGGGAGGTCTTGGGCCATGTAAAGCTCAGTCTGATCACTGCTTTACTGGATAAGCCCCTCAGTTGTTTTTCATTATTATTTTTAATATCATTAAGTGGAATTATTCTTTCCCAAGTTGGAGTTTCTATCTGCATGGATACAATGTAAAAAGATAAAGAAGTATTTTCCAAGCAGCAGATGCGACTGTATACTATATAGTTTATATTCAAAAGTGTTTATTCTATATACGACAGTACACACAATGTGTTACACACTATATGCAACAGTATCAGTGATAGGGAAAATCCACAGGTTACCCGCTGTGTTAAGGGTACAATTGCCTGAACTCACCTGCATGAAGACTCTCTGAGGTCCTTTCTCCTCAGTGAAGGGAGTCTCAAACATGCCTGAAAGGGGGTGGAGGAACCACAGTACGTTCACGTTCCCTACATCATCCCCCCACAAGAGCACAGAAGGGCTTCCTGGTGCCTGCGAACCCAGGAAACACACCTGTTAGCGCTTGAACAGTTGTCAAATGTTTCATAGCAGATAATATGTCAGCAACCATTGTATTTTTCATACAATTAATGCAGCCTTTCAGAAAAATAGAAATAATGGTTGCTATAACAAGACAATTTTACCTGGAAACAAATCAGTTTAAAACAATTACAGGTTTATTCTGTGTCACACCCAAAGAAGGCTCCACAGCCGAAATGTTGTGTTTCCTTTCTTCTCTTTTCAGCATGGAATAAACCTATAACTTGTTCCTTTGCAGCCTACGCATGCTGACGCAGCTACCCACCTGAACTACTTAAAACAATTATTTCTCATACATATACTATTGTAGGGTGAATGGTGGAGCAGTGCTGCCTCTCAGCTCTGGGGCCCTGGGTTTAATTCCAAACCTGGGGTGCTATCTGTGTGGAGTTTGTATGTTTCCCTTTGTTCGTATGTGTTCCCTGTGATGGACTGGTGTCACATCCACGGTGTATCCTGCCTTGTGGCCATTACTTTCTGGGATAGGCTCTGGCTCCCCCATGACACTGTACTGGATAATGTGGTTATGGATGGATATACTGTTTGTACTCTTAATACATATTGCCATCTTTGAAAGGTCTCCTAAAAGTGGCTTGTTTGAACACAAGGCTTGGCATGTTCATTGTGTTCATACTGTTCAGAGTTGTCAATTTTGATGTTTGAAACATCTTGCAACAGTAGGTTTAAGGATGAGGCAGCACTAGGTACCCTGAGACATTCCCTGTCAAAGATCGACCAAAGGGCCTTACCTTGGTGTCACACCAGTAGCATAAGCAGGTTGGCACATTGGCAATTCCTGTGACAAAACCGCAAAGAAACAAGAATGGGTATCAATTTTGAAACACCTTTAAAAAACATATTTATTTTGCATCTTCTGAAAAGAGAATATACCAAACAAGTAAAACTCCTCAAAACAGCTGGCTGTAGAAATGTCAAAAAAGTGGATGTCCCTGCTGGACGTTGCCAGTGCAATCTTGTGGACATCGGGCATGCAAACAGCATCTGTAGTCCATTTCCTGATCCTGCTCCTGCTTCCTGCGATCTCACTGGACTCCAAAGAGACCTGGATTTTAGAAAATACTTTTAATTTTTCTGTTACCCGCATTTCAAATGAAGAAGCCTTTAGAAGAGAGTAGACATTAGAAACATTTTTGTTCAGTCCTCAAATAAAAACAGGGTATCGCTGTTGTATACAGTCTATATTTGTTTATTACAGTTATATACTTATTTCTAATTCTACATTTTGTTTTTGAAAGAGTTTTTGAAAAGAGAATTTCAAAAGAAGGTGAGAGACTTCTGCTCATAGTGTGGTGATTATAACCACTGCAGCAATGAAGCGTTAACACCCAGGTGCACTGTCTTCTCGGGAGGGTGATGCTAAAATTGTGAGTTGGTTTCAAACACCAAGCACCAAAAACATTCAATGTCCATGACTTTCATTCTCAAGATATCAGACATTATTTAAAAAATACCTACACAATAATACACAGTACACTAAAACAGGATCATTGACCCTCACCTATGTCTTCAAACTGGATTATATAACTCATCTAAATAGTTCATCACCTTGTACTTTTTGAGTTTGGCCTGAGTAGCAAAAACTGTATAAATCGTGTTTCACTGGTACTTGGATTTCTCTGCACAAAAAAGCATAATAACAACATGTCCCTGAGCTGGGAATTCGGCATAAAGTAACCATAAATCCCAGTCTGGCTTTGAAACCCAGGTCAATGAAGACAAGTGGGGTAAAGCACCTCCTGTGACTTGAGAATGCGCAGGCTGCTGTCCCAGATGGTCAGAGTTCCCTCCTTGCTGACACCGAGGAAGCGCAGTGGCTGAGGGTGGGGCACTGCCAGCATTCGGATGGTGGGCTCTTGCTACCGAATGGGAATTCAAACAAAGAGGTTGGGAATGATGCGAGGGATGTCCCTGCTTCCTTTCTTACACTAGTATGTGTGAATTTGACCTCCAAATTTAAAGTTGGACCTTTTAAAACACTTTGCAAAGCAATGCCTGTAAATCGGGGTGTTGAATGTTTCCTGTGAATTACCATGATAAAAGCATGGTAAGCATAGTACAGTCAGGATGACATGATGATGTAACATAGAGATGTACCAGAAGGCATGAAACATCAGAATGAACGTAAATGCATGGAATCTATGTAATAAAACATTTCTATTTCTTCGGGAGAACTATATCCTTAGTCACATTTCAACTGCATGGAAAGTGAATGCTGAAGGGGGCTCCTTTTCATTTTATTCTTATTCTTTTCTTTTGAGATCTTAAAAGATTACATTAACAAGATTCAGCTTTGTTTCACCTGAAGATGTTTTCCACCACATATTGTACTTATAGGCACCATGATTATACTGTTTGTGTTTGTGTATTTTCAAAATCAGATATCAACATTTTGAAATACATGTACTGTATGGATGGAAGACTCTCAAGTAGTTTTTTTCTTGTGATGGAGTGTGCCAGTTTTTGTAACATGTGTGTGTAGTGTTTTTAATGTCTGTGTTCGTACCAAGGTTACCTTGTTGTACAGACAGTGTCTAATGATTGGCTGTGTGCTGAGAAAAGTTTCTCTCTGACGGCCGGTGTAGTCTTTCTCCTTGTACTGTAGCAGCAGGTAGGTGCAGAACTCTTCCCAGTCCACATAACCATCACAGGAAGTATCGACCTGCCAGCAGAGAGATTTAAAATATGTATCTATCATTTTTATAAACTCTAATTCTTATAACTTGGAGTTGGAGTTTGGAGTTTGGAGTTTTGGAGTTTTTTATAACTCCAATTCAGGTTTACATGGGACTCAGAGCCTAGCCCAGCAAGCAAATTGGTGTGAGGCGCCCCGGACAGAACTCCATACAGACAGAAACACACTCACACCAGGGCCAATTTTTCCCAGAAGCCAATTAATCTACCAGTATGTCTTTGGATTGTGGGAGGAAACCGGAGCACCCAAAAGAAACTCACCCAAATACAGTACATGGAGAACATGCAATGAAAGTTGAAATACTTCATGCAGTTAGCAACCCAGATCTGGAATTGAACCCAAAGCTCCAGGGATGTGAGATAGCAATGCTAACCACTGAACCACCACACCAACCATGTTAAAGGCAAACTGCAATGTTATTTTTATATTTTACAGTTAGAAAAAATTGGCATTGATGAGTGCATTTCAGACCACAATGAAAGTAAAATGTACACAGTAACTTGTAAAACCTCCAATTCACATTAAAAAAAATACATTTCCAGGTATGCACAGAGCCACATTGCTGTCATTGTCAGTGATTTAGAATGAGGCAAAAAACATCCAGTGAGGTGCAGTGGCCCTATTACTTTATAAACAAGCAGGCTTGTGAATACATCTCTTTTAATCAAATAGAAATATTGCTCTCAACTTTAAGACTGTTTTGCCGACAAATACTACTTAATTGTTAACTCTGCATGCAGATCATGTCAGAATCTTTCTGTGACGAGATGTCTGCTGCACAATCTGTACTTATTCATTTGGACATTGCATTTCACTAATGATTACAGTGACTAGTGAGCAGGAAGGGCCGCTTTACATCACAATTTGAACGCTTGAAAGCATGACGACTTTACAGTATTTTCACAAAGTTCACTATTTTGTGTTTATTTTGAAAATTGTAAATTCAAATTTAGAACAGCTGCTTTAAGCTGACTGGAAGAAACAAAACATAACACCGCAAAAGTGTTTGAAGAACTGTAATATTTAGAAATTTCCAATGCAAAGTACAGGGTGTGCATGTGTTTCATGTGCCTGGGGATAAGGTTAATTAATGCTTACAGTATGTCTCATATCTGCTCATCTTAAAGGTAATACTGGAATCCAGCACTGGAGCCCTGTGCTTAATTTGCACAACATAGTACCCTACTCCCTGAAGACATTTCAGTTATTGAAAACCTGTTCTGCTACCCTTCTATTGGGAGGTACTCTGGGGTTCCTGCTTATGATGGAAGGCCTTATATCTGTATAAAAGAAAATGTCATTCTTCCTTGAGAGCTCCTTTTTAGACTTAAGAAATGATACAATTAAAACTGTCTTGGAAGAAAATTGAAGATGTGTACCAAAGTGCTACACCAACAACAGTAAACACCGAACCCAAAACATCAAAGGATTCCTATGTCTCTTATCCTGTGGTGTTGGAGCTACCAGGCTCCTTACCTTGTTAAAAAGCAATTCCATCTGACTGGCCCAGCGCTCCGAGCCCAGCATGGTACCCAAGGCAGACTGGAACTCTTCCAGACTCATACTGCCTGCCTGTTGCTTGGGTCCGCGGCTCGATCGCCACCCCCTTCCAGCCTTCCAGCCTGCCCCTACCTCGCCAGACCTGGGATCTCTAGGCACGTGACTGGCAAACGCTTCCTTTAGCCATTGCAGGTGCTCCAACTGCAGCTCCTCCTCTAGGCCAGTGTTCTGCTCCTGATCGAAACTGGACAAGAATACAGCACTCGTGTTAGAAGAGTTAAATGATAAGAGTTTAAATAAGGTTCTAAAGTAGAGAGAAGTTCTTGAAAGCTGTCTGTTCATACAGTATATACAGTAGCAGCACAGTATCGCAATAAATAAGAGCACAAATCACATTAGTATGTCACTGAATCCATGGACTGATTCAGATATAGAGTAGGAGGGAACTGATTTTATCCACTACTGAATGGCGGTCCCCATCTGGGTGATGCACAGCTGCTAAGTGAAGTAGTGACTGCATGTTCAACTGAACTGAGAGCTTTAGACAGGCCAAGGCAAGCCCAGAGAAATTAGCCAGGATACTGGCAGCAATTCAGCTAGTCAAGCAAGAGGAAGCTTTAGTGACCACACAGTTGGTTTAACATCTCATCTGAAGGATTGAACCTCCTACAGCACAGTGCCACACTATGTGATTTTGTTTTAGGGAATTTCTGGACCACAGAAAGGTGTGCCACCTACTGTACTAGCCCACCAACAAACGTTACAGCAAAAGCCTGGTTTTCCTTCAAGGTCTCCTAACCCAGTACTGACTGGGCCCACCCTTGCTTATCTTCTGACGTCATGACAAGGTCTGTCAAGTTACGCGGTAGTAATTCTGCTATCAGTGTCTTCTAACATGTATCCAGTCTCTGAATATATGTTCATTAGAAAAAAATCATTTTAGATGCATAGATGGAAAAACAATGGCCATTTAGCACACTCTAGTGGCATTTATGGAAATACAGAAGGTTTTGTTCTGGTTTCAGTAGAACAAACACTCTTTCTCTCTCTGGTACAAAAAATGTTTGCAGTCAAAGTAATTGTCGGCATCATTGCTAGATACTAGATTTGAGTATATGTAAATATTCCTAATCCCAGTCTCACACCTAATCCTAAAATTGCTGCTAAAAGTGCCAAAATTACTAGTTACACAGTAAGTGTTCCAACATGCTACAAGGATGTTGCATGCACCAATAGATTGGCCATCTCATCCCCTATACACCTTTTTAAAAATACAGAGCAGCATTTATTGCAACAAGACCTTTTGAAAATGCACAGACTTCAGAAATTCTGCATATATAGAAATTTCACTGGAAAATTACAGACCAGATTGTCCAAGGCTTTTGCACCAAAAATATAATTTTCGTTGAATATTTTTGTTTTATTGTGGATAGATTGATGCTACAATATTTGACTAGAAATTAGGTTTGACAATAATTGAAAAGAATCAAGGGCGGTACAGTGACGCAACAGTTAGTGCTGCTGTCTCACAGCTTTTGGGTGCTGGGCTCAATTCCGACCTAGAGACCCTCCTGTGTAGAGATTTACATGTTCTGTCTGTGGCCTCATAGATTTTCACTGGCTGCTCTGTTTTCCTCCCACAGTCCAGAGATATGCTATAATTCGCCCCTCTAAATTGCCCTTTGTTTGCATGTGTTCACTAGTGTCCTATGCAGGATATTTCCTACCTTTACGCATTTTCTGCTGGGCTAGGCTCTGATTCACCATGACCCTGTATTGAACTAAAATTGATGGATAGATCAAATTAATAATCTAATGTGCTTTGTACTATAATCAGCAGCTGTTATTAATCAGCAATTATTTATTATTATTTACTGCTATTCAGCAATCCTGGAAAGGTCTAAACAAATTATTGTGTGTGACTTTTAAATCCCTAGTGTTTCCCTGTTTTTATTTAACAAAAAAGTAAAACTTGCAAAAAAGCCAGCATAAAGGAAGTCTTAATTCTTTATCTTAATTAACTTAAGATAAAGCTGTACCTCCAGTCTGGAGGGGTGTCTCATTTACATTACTCAGAGGTGAAAGGAAGCAACTTCTGGATCTGGTTTATTCCAGCAGTTTCCTGCTCAGTAATACTGACAGTGGTATTAGGATAAGACAAGCCAGGTTTGACCCTGTTCTCCCAGGAGTCTGGAAGATTTGACCAGAAAGTAAGAACATTTGTCTTTGTCCTCCACTTAACATGTGAGCTACAGCAATGGTGTGTTCACAATTCAAGATGGCATTTCAGGTTGATAGTTAAGAATGTGCAAAATAACCCATTTATTTTTTTTTACAGAGAAGAAAAGACCACACACCCAAAAATCATGAAGGTGAAGTCCAGAGGAAAGGTAATATTAAAGGTAGAGTTGGCTGAATGTTCTGTTGACTCTACTTTTTATATTTATATTTTTAAATGAATATAAAAGCCACCAGAAATCCAAGACAAGTAAACCTGAGTTTAAAACATTCCTTTCTGCAGGATCTGTCCCAGTTTCTACATAGCACCTCGGCAATAAACATCCTTCCTGCTGTCCTGTCTCCATGGGTACAGCAGCTTGGCTTGCTCAGACATCCTGACTTCCCAGGCCAAAGACAGGCCTGCTTCTGCAGGCCTGTTTCTGAGTGACTAACCCCCTGGCAGGGCCCTACACTGATGTCACAGTGGTGTGGTTTTGTTGCCTCTGGCAACGCCACAACAATTGACCCGAAGTCAGACCTTGGGCCTGTTGTGCGGCAATTGTTGTTTCTCACTGATCAAGACAGTTTAATCAATCAGCAGATAATCAGTTACATTTGTCTCCTGCACACAGACATTTGGATAGGTTCAGATATTCACTATAGCAGCAAGAGGCTTCTAATTTCCATAGTCATATTTGTCTCTGTCAGATGAGAGAATTGATTCTCTATAATAAATATCTGGCATTTGGTTTTCCAATCAACTCAATTCATCTAGTCAAAAATGACACCAAAACATCACAAGCTGTAACTACAAACAGCAGGGACCTAACTCCAGGTTAGATTTCAACCCAGTTGCGTTATGCAAGTCAATATACGGTAACCCCCAGCTGAATCTACAACCATAAATAAGCAGAAGCCAACTTTGTCAGGCCAGTTTGGAACCATGCTGGCCCAGGGCAACTTACCAAGTATACATGGGGAACAGCTTGAGGAGGAAATATGTGGGAGAACGATGCAGAGTTTAAGTGTCGCGGGATGAGTTATACAAATGCAAGCAGATTATATGTCTTATTGCAGTAAGAGGTATTTTAATCGAATTTTCAGTTCTATATTTTTGTAACATTGCAGATCAAGTGAAGTCACAATTTTCTCATGAGGAGCTTTTCTTCCACAAGATCATGATCATATTAATTTTACTAGCCCACGAAAAATAATTTATGACAGGGAAAACATTGCGGCTGTTATTGTGGATACACTTGAGTTTTGACGGACACATTGATTAAGTACTTCTTATGCTACACATGCACACACCTCACAGAGGTTTCTCCATGAAACATGTCAGATATCTCACAGAATTGTCCAAGAAGTTGCAATAGATATATAATAGTTTTTCTATTGTCTGTTGATCCTGTTCTCAATACTTGAGTTTATATACCATATACTGTACCGTGTAACACATTACTAATTTCAGGAATGATTTACTTTACTCTTGTCTGAGCAAGGCAATCAAATGAAATGGCTTTACAAAAATAACATATTTTCAATTATATTCAAAAGGATGTTTTATGTAATTACAAAACAAACCGATTTATTTAAAATCTTTGTCATATACTGTATAACAATTAAAACATATATTGCTGCTACTCTATATTTGCAATTGTCTTTTCTGACAAGTCATGGTCACAGTGCCTCATTGCAAGAATATATTCTCTTATATACTGTACTCTCTCGCCACATAAAATGTCAGATGATACTCATTGCATAATGTGTTGTTTTTTTCCACTAATTAGCCCCTTTCTTTACACTCCTATGGTATTTCGAAAGATAGGTAATTATCAATGGATTTTTTACAGTTTGCATTTTTAATTACAAAACATACAGAATACATAAAAAATAAAGTAGACTGTACATGACTGCATGCTTGGTGTGTTTGACATTAACTGGATTTATTTATGTGCACAAACAAGAAAATATCCACTCACAAAGAGAGGTTTCAGGTAGCCCAAGCAGTGATTACAATGAGAAGTTCTGATCAGAAGAAGTGTTTTGTATACTGTACTTACCCAGTAATAGTGACAGGGATCTCCTTCTCATATATTTCCCAGATGCCACTGTCCCAGTCTCTTGTGGCACACATACTGCTAGTCTTACTCCTGTCTCAGGCACAAACTTGGTAGATTTAAGGAACCAATTACATTTATTTCGGCATTTCCTGTTACAGAACGTTTGTACAGAGCATCAAGCTCGGCTTTTATCCATCATCAAATCACATTCATTACCTGGAGCTCAGAAATTAACTGGTAATAAACCAATAAAACCAAGGCAACAGCATTGAATTATTGATTATCCCAAAGATAACATCAGCTCTTACTGTCTACTCCCAAACAGTCTTTCTGCTTTCTCCAGGAGCTCTGACATTATACTGTATGACCTGGTTATTACACTCTTCTCTGTGTGCTCACTGTCAGTGAAGAAATTATTGTGACTAACATAATCTTGTGGCTGGAATTGCACATTCATGCCAGAAAGATCATTAACTCAGTCAGAAGACAATCCAGGAGTAATTTATGATTAACCAGCTGGTTTTTGAACTAGTGAAATCTTCAACAGTGCTGGTGTTTCTTTCGTGTTTGCTGTTGTGCTCTTTACACTTCATTTTCACCTAAACCTGGGGCAGTGTCTGTATATTTCAAAAACTATATACATTGTTCATATAACAAGCACATTCAGGAATAGAGTGATTAGGGTATTACATAAAAGTGATGATTAAACTGAAAAGAGGAGAATCTTCATTACACAAGGGGCTATATCAGGATGGTAACACCTACCCAGCAATGTTGTTATAAGCTGTGATCCTGGCACCTTTATGTTCTTAAAATAAAATACAATATGCATTTTTTTACGTTTTTGTTTTAGACATGCGTGTTTTCATAGAGTATGAATTTATAGTCCTGTAATAAAAGAAGAATTACTAATCTAAATATTTTGTGAATGAGATCTCCCATTAGTATTATTATTTCTGCTTAAGACAGCATCTGGCCAAGGCTTAAGCAGATCAGCTGCATAGAACCATCATAGAAGTGATAAAGTGATCAAATGTGTCCCCATATCTGTCCTTCACCCATTATTCTGGCTACACACCTATACTGATTGCATTTACTAAACACAATATATCTACCTGCGTGCTATATTCTTTTACAAACATCTGCAAAACCATCTTTTAATTTGTTGACATTTCATTAGAGAGGATTTTACACAATTTGCCTGGAGGACACACCACACAGATATTCATTTTTAAGACATGTTCTATCAGTGATTTTCTCTGCTTCAAATCAAACTAGCACAATGTATTACTAAACATAATATACAGTAAACAGTATGTATTTCTTTTGTATTTGCTTGTAGTAATGAATGATTTTCCCTTGTTTTGAGCACACATTCTGAACTGTACTGTATATTACTAGGATAATGTTGTATTTCATCCACTGAAGCTCTCAAATTATTGATTACTTCAGTATTTCCTGAATTCAGCTTCAGTGGATAGGCATTTGTGTTGTCATAGTAACAATTTAATTGAACTTCACTTCATGCACTGCTGACTGTTGTATGGTTAAAAAGTGTCCAGGGAAAACTTTCTAATTATTTTTAGTTTTGTTCCAAAATATCAGCACCTGTTACCCTTTGATGGTGTTTTAATATTCAGTATCCCTACATCTGAAGTTTCCTCAAACTAAAAGTGGGAGTTTAATGTCACTAGGGTATCCTTAGACTCTGAAGAAGTCTGTAAAGTCTTCAAGAATTCCTGCTGAGCTTGCCTTTACTCAATTCACCCTCAAAAACTGCTCTCCTGACTTTCATCTCTTATTCTCTTTCTCTGAGGTCTGGCACCCCAATGTCCAGAGCACCCCATGTGGGTTTGTGGTCAAGGGAATTTACCATTGAGGCTATAACAGAGGTATGTGGATCAACAATAATGTCTGTAGTGAGATTCCATATATTAGCCTTGTGTTACATAGGACACTACACTGAAACACATTGAGAAAAGGGTGTCTTACTATTTTACAGCACCAGTTATCTTACAGTACATCACTGCTTTGAACAGGACTTGTTACTTAAATTAAACTTCCTGTTCTCTATTATTGTCGTGTACAAGCAAAGTCTATTTTTTTTTCTGATACATGGAAAGGGTTTCTTCCTGGAGAATTCTGTCAGAAGGCTGTTAGTGAAGACTATGATTCTCTTTTCTTTTCAATTACTTTCCTAATTTCATGACTTCTAATCACTCTATTAATCTTCTACAGCAAGCAACATCATGTAAACGGACATAGTCCTCACTGACACAGTTGCCTTGTATTGCCTGCATTTTTAACAGGGCTTTTAAAAAATGCATTAGGGTGCTTGCAGTATTCACAATGTCTCAGTTTACCTTTCCCCTCAATGCCTGTCAATACTGACAGCAAGAGTGAAAAATGGCCAGAGTAGCCCACCGAACACCTTCTGTGTGCAGGCACAAAAGGCCACCCGTCAGCTAGGCTTCATCCTTGTTTCATAAGGCCTAATGCTGCAGTTGCTGTTGCTTAGCAACACAGAACATAATGCCTCAACAAGACATTAAATATAACTTTCCTTTAAAAGTGTGTCTTTGACAGCAGTTCTGAATAAAAAGCAATCTGAATATACATCACTTTCATTTGTGACACATTTTAAGAATTACACTAAATGTCATTTCGTTAAAAAAACATTGTTTTTTTGCCGCAAATCTCTAGGGTTAGAGTACAACCGTTTATTAAAAAGTCCTACTATCAGCAAATCCTTATAAGTGTTGTGTGTTCATACAATGTTTGGTAATCTACAGAGATCAAACATTCAGATATGACAAAGCAAACAAAATACTTACGTTTTCTACAGTACTGTATGTTTAAAAACACTAAAAGCAGGTCCATCTTGTCAAGGCATACTGTATGTTATAGATAAATTCACAATTTCTTGTATTTTGCAAAGGGAAATTTAGTTTCTGGCTTAGAGCAAAGATATCTAAAGAGTTTTTCCAATTTTTCAACCACATTCTACAAACCATGCTATTCTGTACAGCAGAGTATATTAAAAAAACTGCCCCGAATTCAGTGTGCTAACAAACAAAAAAAAAACCTAACAATAATGTGTGTTCAATTTTTTAAGTTGCTAGACATGAGAAATATTTGCTTGTTAATTAAAGTAAAAAAATCCCAGGGCGTTTCTCGAATTGTTTACTGTAACTGTGCTAACCCTGGTGCTTTGGCCAAACGTCCCCCTGGGCTTTATCAATCATGGCCTCCTAATAACCCCCTTCTATGAATTGGCTTCATTACTATGATTTCCTCTCCTCTGATACTGTAGCTAAAGTGTGTTGAGTGTACTGGCACACTTTGGCTGCTGTTGCATCATCCAGGTAGGGGCTACACATTTGTGGTGAAAGTGAGTCCCCATTACCTACAGTATAAAGCACTTTGAGTGGAGAGTCCAGAAAAGCACTATATACTGTAAGTGTAAAGATTATTATTATTAGACGTAGTATTAAAGCTAATCCTAGTCAGATCTGAAACTTGAACAACTCCCAGAGGAAGGGATTTTCTTTCACCTTAAGGGTTATCGGACATGGGAAATGCTGATTTAGAAGGGTATTATTTACTGTACCTTAGGACATTCTGCTCATTGTTGAAGCTCTTCCTTCTTGCGCCTTCGTTCTGTACCTCCTGAGCAAGAGAAGAGAGTGCAGTGTCTTTCCAGTGAGTCTCATCTCTTCGTAGTGTTTGCCTTGTTTACTTTTATTGTTATTTTTTTTCCGCCCTTAATTGTGGTTTACAGTAGTTTGTATAAGAAACTAACACTAAAGACTTCACTGAGTATAGTTTGTGAATTATTTAGGCCATTAGTGGTGCACTTCAATAACCGCTTGCATACAACACCGAGTTTACTTTTCCCTCAGTTTTTTAGTTTGTCCTTAAATGTTGAAATCTGAGCCCTAGTTATGGAATTAATCCTAATTAAGGAATTACAGTTCCGTAATTATTACATAATGGACAGGATCGTGTGGTGGCTTAAACTCTAGATTAACTGAAAGGCTATGCATCCAGGAACAAGAGTCAACATACTGTACGATTAACTAGCAGCCTGTCCAGAGTTAGATCTGCTTAATATTACAGAAACTGTAATAACCTCTAACAATGTGAACTACTGAATTTGGACTTACAGTATGTGTTTCTGGCAATCAGGTTTTGGATTAGAATTGGCCCAAGCAATAGACTCTCAAAGTCCAGGGTGTCAGTTTACATTACAAAACCACAAAAGAAATAAAATCGCTTAACATTGAGCAATTACTGCATGTATTATTTACATGTGTTTAGAATGCAATCTACCATACATTATATGTGGTATACAAGGGCTGAACTGCATGTGTCACATTTGTGCCATGACACCTACTGTACTACTGAGATAAATATTATATGTATCATTTTCTGGGGTTCCTGCACAATATGGAGCTGTAGTACGAAGGGTCAGAATGTAATGTCTCACACAGTACGAGGCTGTTAATGTGATATAGCCCTCTGGAGCTTGAAAAGCACTCCAAACCTGCTGGCCAGTGGGTTTTGTTTGCTAGTCCCTTGGCTTGAATCCCAGCCAGGTTTCAAAGGGATGAACTTCACCTGCCACACCATCAATCTTACAGTAAAGCATATAACCGGTTTCACAAAGTAATCAATTCAGGACCTCTAGATTTATGAGTTGGGACATCACAGTGAAAATGTTGAGTCAAAATAATCTAAAATCATTCAAACAATACAGTGACAAAAGGAAATGAAGACCTCACTATGGTATAGGCCATTTTAAAGAAAAGATCCAAGTAGTTACAGATTATATATGTAACATACAAATTAGTACGTTTACTCCTAGTCACTGTTATGCAGACTTTTACAACCTTTCAAAATCAGGACCCTGGGGCTCAAAGCAATGCCGAGCACTGAGACCTAAAGAATTCCACGGGCGAAGGAATTGACTTACTTTTTTCTTCAAAAACTCCTCCAGATCCAGCAACAGGTTTTCAGACAGGAGCTGTCTCTGGAGTGCAGTGGCTCTCTTCTGGAGGAGGTGGGGGAGAGGCATCTTACTTGGAAGGTATGAGCTGTGCCTTGGTGAAAAATACACACAAAAACGTCCTGTATCTATCCTGTGGAGGTGCACAAGCCTTGGATTTCAGTGTATCCCAGGTGAGATGGATAGTGTGCTTGGAAATGTACTCCTCAGTTCAGTTATAGCTGACTTCATGCTGTTTGTGTCCAGAAACCAAGTGTATTGCTGATTCAGTGCGCTAAGCAAGACCCTCTGACAGAGGGGAATTCTTGACATTCAAGTACAGATGGAGAGCACACTTTAAACTATTAAAGAGATAGATTGTTTTGAAAAATTAGTCTTTTCCCTACTGAAGGAGCATTCAGTATCAATGGCAGGATCAGAACCGCCGATGTTTCTGACTTTGGCTCCGTAAAATCTGTCGCGTTCTCCTTTCCCAGCCAGAAGAGAAAAGTTTGTGATCAGGAGTCGTATCTCCAAAAGGCTGCCAGCCCTAATTTTTTTTCTTTTTGTACTGCCTCAATGAAGTATGCTTTTACTGTAACCATATCCTTGCTGTGCTGGCTGCACCTGCCCATAGTCAGCCTATCCCAGTTCTCCCCCTCAGGAACAGAAAGACCGACTCACTGACTCATCAATGGCTTGTTCTGCACAAGCTGTACCATTTGTTTAGGCACGAGTCTCTGCACAACCACAGCAAACACGTCCAGAGCTGGTACAGCCCAGCCAGCTCATCTGAGGGCTTGGCACAATTCTGGGAGCTGGAAGTGTAAATAGCAGACAAACATGATGGACAGGAGCCTAGAGCTGTCTTCTTATGACTGAGGGAGTCCAAGGTGAGATCTGAAAAAAAGCTATAGAAGGTGGACACTAACAGTTTCTTTCCTTTGCAATATTTGTATTTGCCAATACTCCTGTTGGATTCCTTGTTTCCATGAGGAGCTTGCCTGGCATGTGCCTCTCTTTTCGTTTTTCTGTGGAGGTTTAAATAAAACTGTTATATTGACACCGCAGTGTATCTGTGGCATTTCAACCCTCTGAAAAGAAAAAAAAAACATACTTTGCATTATCATACTGATTGTCATTGTTGAGACAACTGTGAATACTGCTACCCCTTTTTTTAGATTAACACAAGGAGAGAAGTCCTGCATTAAATAATTAACTGGCTGTGATGTGGGTTATACATATAAGCCTTATGATTGTAGATGAAATTATATAAGGAAAACGAGAGTTAAAGTAACCCCTTTGTTTGCTTCTAATTATTTTATTTAACTGATAAAGGACTTAACATTTCTTGTCTCCCCTTTCAGAATTAACAAAAACTACTTGTACCATAATGCATTGCAAAGATTTGTGGAACTGCACTTCCCGTCCTCCACTCCGCTTCCTGGTTACCTCGTACAAACTGTCAACGAGTCACTTGCTGCAAGTAACTGAAATCTAAATAAGCGAATTTGCATCTATCAAAGAGTTCTGTAATAGTTCATAAGGTTATAAATTTAAGAAAAAATGATAAGCAGCTGATATGCATTTTATCTGGTATGTAGGCATCTAATTTCCTCTTTATTTCGATAGTTGCAATGTATTTAGTATAAGTCTGTCATCAGCTTGTTTTGAAAAAGTGATATTGCGAAAAGAATAAACATTCAACTTAAAGTATTTTCAGTTGTGTAAGGAATATCAAACTGGCGTAAAATGGTGAAGCTAACTAGATCATAGAAGGAGTAAAGACGATATATTTAAGTGTATGGGTATGGTGGTCAGTAATCTAATGACGCTTCATGGCTGCAAATTTAAAAACGATTCGTCTTTAAATGGACCGAACTCCTAACTACAACTGATAAAAGGGATCTATAATCTCCTTTAAAACAAAATAATGCAGTGTGAAAATTGAGTAATCCAATAAACAGTTTTTCATGAGATGAACGTTATTGCGTCAAATATGTCACTTCGTTCATTTGACGTATATTAATTTCTAGGTGGTAGATCGCCTTACTGAATCTAAGCTCTGTCAGTGTTGATTTAGCTTACTGCTGATTGCGACTCGAAGCCCTCATATCACTAATGGAAAATTCTGACGCTTCAACTTCCATGACTGGTGACGGGGAAATAAAACCATGTGATTTATTTTCAAACTGAAGAATTCAGTTTCTGTTGTTTGCGGGTTGATTCAGTGGAACTGTACATACTGTAGTAGTTTCCTGTTATACTGTTATATTGATTATAACAAACAGGTGTAGCTCGCCTTTTTTTAAAAAATAGCTTATTGGTTCAAGAACCTTATCGAGTTTTATTCAGGAAATGAGCAAAACAAAAAATCTTGGTGATTTCTAGCTAGCATTTGATTTAGGACTCTCATTTGTTTTAGAGCAGCACAGTGGAAGGAGAAGTTATGGTACAATAGACTGGAAAGGAAAGAAACCTACCGGTAGGGAGTTAGGGCATGTTTTTGCTCTTAATAGTGGGGTGGGTTTTAAAATGTACAGGGTGTTTACTAGTTCTTTTGGGTGAGAGTGTTGTGTTTCTTTCATTTCGTTCTCAGGTGCTCAGCTGAGTAAAGTGGTGGAAGAGCAGAGGGGGGCAGATGGAGGATTTTCGCCGCGCGTTCCTGCTCCTGTGCAAGGAGGGCGGCGTGGAGCCTCAGGAGTCGGTGGTCAGGCAGCTGCAGGAAGTCCGGGGGGCGGCGGGCAGCACGAGGCTGGACCTGGCCGGAAACAGCCTCACGACAGACACCTGCGCCGTGCTGGCAAAGGTGCTCCGCCACGATGTCCTCTTCACGGAGCTGGTGCTCAGCGACTGCATGCTCAGCGAGGAAGGTGAGCCGGCTTGGCCCTGCACTCCTGTCCCTCTCACTTGGCACCACGCTGGGGCAGGTTTTGTTCGCACTGTGGGGCAGAAATGTCGAACTTTGTCTTTCTCGTATTCTTTGACACATTCAGTTTAGACCAGCAGTTTGTTCATTCTTTCTGTGCTGTGTGGATAGGGAGCAATGGAGTGGCAAAGGGCATCGTCGCTGTTTTGATGCAAGCCCAGAGTGAATACAGAGAGACTGGTTTTATGTTTTGCCCAAGGTTTTAATTTCCAGTTCCTCCCCTTAAATGGTGTCACTAATAACAGTTGTTTTTTTCATGCTATTCATCCTCATGCTGTAGAATCCCCACTAATAATCTTGCAGTAGATGGCGCCTGTTTGTTCTTAACCTCTGGCTCTCTTCTACTGTGGAGCCTAACCTTAGGAGGGAGACAAATGTAAATGTGAGAGAGGCTCTGTAGGGTTTTATACCATCTGTCTGTGTCACTGACATTCCTCTTCTTGTCAATCTCAGGTGCCAAGCTGCTGTTGCATGGTCTGTGTTCCAACACAACGGTTAAAGTGCTGGATCTCAAGGTAAGCAGTATAATCTTGACATAGTAACTTCAGGCTTGTTTCCAAAGAAGATGAAGGTGGGGTGCCTGTAATTTTTCTGCTTTAAACTGTTGAATGAAACACGTGGTTCTTTCTGTCATTCTGGGTAGTTAATTATGAAACTGTCCTAAATGGCTTTTTATAGCATCACAAAATAACATTATTCAGACATCACAAAAAGTTTTCCAAACCACATTCTCATTTCATAAATGCTTTACTTGTTTAATACATATTCTTACTATGAATTCCTTTGTAGTTTTTTAGATCATTTGTTTTATTCTGCATATTTTTAACAATGCAGTTGGTTTCACCTTTAACATCCTGTGCAATTGCAATGATGACCATGCAGAGGTCATGGTCCAGGGTGCAATGGTAAATTAAACACAGACTGTTTGCGTTGTAGGGCAACAACATGAGAGCAACAGGATCAGAAGCTCTGGGGAAGTTACTGGCACAAAACAAGTCACTGCGCAGGTGAGGAGAATGTAATGAATGGTAAATTGAGAAATGAAGGTTCCTTGCACTGCAGAACCAACAGATCCAAATCTTGTGGTTAGGGTGGTCTCCTAAGTGTTTTTCATGCTTGGAGGAGAGATAAACTGATTACTTCTGCCATTGGTCAACAAACAAAAGCATGTTAGTGATACACCAACTCTAGAGTCTAGACAATCACTTCCCTTAAAGGTTTGAACACCTATTCAAAATTACTTCACATTTAGAGGAATGTTGCTATGCGGTCTTCACTGTGGTTAGCGTGGATTGCTGCTGTGTTGCAGGCTGGTTCTAGAGTGGAATGCCCTGGGGATGTGGAATGAAGCATTCTCAATATTCTGTGAGGGGCTCGGCTCCAATGGCTGTCTGAAACAGCTTGACCTGCGCAACAACCAGATCAATCACCAGGGGGCAGCAGAGCTAGCCTTGGCTCTGAAGCGAAACAGCACGCTACAGGAGCTTGGTGGGTTTGTTTTGGTCTAGGTCTGTCCACTCCATATACAGTAGGTCCTTAATATCCTATATCAGTTAGCTGTTAACTTAAATTGACCAATTTATTCACTTCTCCTGAATCCTACAATGCTGCTGCTTTAGAGACGTAGTGGTAAGAAAAAGATTGTGAACCCTATAGAATTTCCTGTATTTCTGTGATTTGATCTTCATCTCTGTCATAATAATAGATAAACATAATCTGGTTAAACAAATAACACACAAACAGTTGTACGTTTAATGTCTATATTGAACAAATTGTTTAAACATTTGCTGTCTGTGCTGGATAAAGTATGTGAACCTCTTTTAGCAGCAGTGACCTCAACCAAACGTGTCCTGTAGCTGCTGATCAGTCTTGCACATCGATTTTGGCCATTACTCTTTACAGAACTACTTCAATTCATTGATATTTCTGGGATGTCTTGCAGGAACAGCTTGCTTCATGGCATGCAGCAACATTTCAATTGAGTTAAGGTCAGGACTCTCACATAGCTATTCCAAAATTCAAAATTTCCTCTGTTTAAGCCTTTCGGTTGTAGCTGAAGAAGGCTCCATGGCCGAAATGTGTTTTCTTTCTTCTCTTTTCAGCATGGAATAAACCCATTACATGTTCCTTTGCAGCCTACACATGCTGACACAGCTACCCACCTGAACTACTTCATTTTACTTTTATTGTTGTTTGAAATGCACTCATGCCTAATTGACCTCTTTCAACTTGTTTCCAGATCTGCGGTGGAACAATATTGGACTCCTGGGGGGACGCTCTCTACTGGAGTCGTTGCAGCACAACAAAACACTTCTACAGCTGGAGATGGCAGGAAACAACATTCCCAGCGACACTCTAAAAGCTGTTGGTAAGCAGAATAGGACGCAAAACCTCCTTGTGCCGCCTTATTAAAACAGAACAAGACCAATTTTTCGTTCTTTTCCTGTAGCAACATTGAGATTTCCCTACCTGTCAGCCTGAGTTTCAATCAAAAACTAGTGACCTCAGGGTTCTGTTCATCTTCTCACCTAGACAAAAAATCTAACTGACGTGATGTGTGTTTTAATGCAGTGTGTGAGTGTAATACCGCCTCCTGTGCTGTTTATTTGTCTTCACAGAGCAGTCCACAGGCCATAACACGGACCGGCAGTCCACTCTGAGAGAGGCTCGCAGCAGGACCCAGGTGCTCACCAAGGAGATCCAGAATCTGAAAGATGAGAAGGGCCAGCAGGTGGGTGGGTGTTGATGTCAGTGGGGCATTTTGCATTATGCTACAGTACATTTACCATGGGGTTAATGCACTTGTAACTCAACCCCTCTATCCTAGGCACTTAATATACTGTCATTGTGCCATCAGGCCCACCTGAGAGGAATGAACAGTTCTGTGAGTGATCCTTCTCAGAACTATGTTCTTGTTCCAGTCTCTGGAGATGCTGTGATGGATTTGTTTGTAAAATGTTTTTCTTGATTGATCTCTACAGTTCTTAAGCCTGATGGAGACAATTGATAAGCAACGAGATGAAATGGGCAGACACAGCAGGTGAGGTGTTTTGGGGGGAAAAAAAAGGAAAAGAAAACTTTCCTGATGATACCTATTGCACAGCATACTCCACCAAGAATTAGATGGACCTTGAATCCACCCTGTCTGGAAGATCTCTGCTGTAGTGCCAACCCTTTACAGTAGTAGGAATAAGGTTCAGGTGAAGAATGACAATACTGAGGAGTCACCTGCCCGTTTGCTTTGAGGGCTATTCAATTCCAAATGCCAATACAATAGAAGGTGCCAGTTATCCAGAGCTGCATTGAAGTTATTCAGTTATTTTCATTTCCCTTGTTATTTTTCTTCTAGGACTTCTGCATTACATGTCAGTCAATTACAAGAAGCCTTGAATGAAAGGAAGTCTGCGTTGAATTCTCTCAAAGCCAAGTAAGCTACTTGGAAAGCTTCTGCTTTTTGTATGGGTTCCATTTCTTACAGTTTAATTATTTTATGGTCTGTTTCTGTAATTGACAAATGTATGGTTTTAGTTGGGTAGCCCAGTGGTTAGCTTTTCTGCCTTGAGGCGTTGGGACCCTGGGTTCAATTCTGGACCTGGGATGCTATCTGCATGGAGTTTGAGTGTTTTCTGTGTTTAGTGTGAGTTTTCTCTCAGTGCTCTAGTTTTCTCCCACAGTCCAGAAACTGGCCCTGGTGTCTGCTTGTGTCTACCTTTTCTTTTTAAGTAGGAAACAGACAAAACAAAACTAAAAAGTAGTATTTTTTCTATGCTGCCTTAATAAAATGGCTACTTCTTGGGGGACATTTTAAAATGTAGTGCTTGTATGCTTCAGTTCATCTTGAATTTACATCATGAATCCGTCATGCGCAAACATTTTATTTTAAATTCATTTCATTCATGTATTTGAACTGTTTTAATTTTTTGTGCATATTATGTTTTAATTATACTTCACAAGGTTAGTCAAAACTATGACTCTGCTTGAAAACCTGTGATATAATGTTTTTATTTTCCATCTTGTTTTTTACAGATTTTGTGCATGGCCTGCAAAATAAGTTATATTTTTAATTGCACAAATTATGCCACTAAATTGAAGGTCAAGAGAAGGGTTCTACCCATTTCCTTTTTTGCACTGCTATTATTTCAGTAAAAACAGCAGCAGTTGTCGGTATATATCAGTGAAACTTAGTTGGTAGAGGCAGATCTCTGTGGCCGGACGTCTCTCTTAGTGGATACGTAGATATTAATAGGACCGAGACAATTGGCTGCATTCTTTGGATTAATCCAGGGAGTAGCATCTGAATGATATTATATTACAGTGTGGTGCTGCAGGCATTTCTGTGATGGGTATCCGGATTGTATCACACAGCTGGGTAGGGGGAGGGGAGAGGAGAGGAGGGGGTGGGCAGGCAGGCAGGCTGAGGGGGTAATCATCACCTGCTCTGTGGAGCTGACATGTGGTAATTAAGCTGTTTTGTAGGGGCTGTGTGAAACTCTGCTCATGCTCCCCATTGGATGGTTAACCCTCTCTCTCCCAATGTTTTGGGAGTAAAAACTATGTACAGTATTGTATTCTGTTGTGACCCTTTTTTTCAGCATGTATAATATCTAAAGCTACAATATGTCTACAATCCAGAATGATCACTTGGACTTTTTTTAATTAAGTTCTTGAGTGTATGTGACATGGAGCCATTGTCAAAACTGTTGTTCTTTTGGGTCCTTTCTCTAAGTACACACACCTTAATGTAGTTGTCTTCAGCTTTCTCTGCTTAAGTATCTCTTTTTCAAGCTGCTACTATAACAATCATGAAGGTGGGCCCTTCCTGAACATTTTTATAGACTGCTACCTGTGAATCATTCTTCCAGCATGACAATGAATGAACACATGCAGCAGATTTCAAATTAAATACAGTCCTCAGTAGCAGGAGACTAAGGTTGTGCAGAACAGGGTCTGTGGGGGGGCCTGCAGGCCTACAGACGACAAATGGTACCATAGGTGCAAGCCACTGTCCTAATGGATATTAAAATGACCTATTTTCTATCCTGTGTGTGTTTTCAGATCAGTTTTTTAGTAATATGTGTTATGGGGTAAAACGAGGTATTGTCATGAACTGTTCAAACATTGTTTCAAGGAACGGTACTGTGTGAGCAACAGGCAACAGGTGGGCTTTCAGCCTTGTCTGTGCTCCTGTTTCCACACAGACTCCAGATGACTGAGGCTGCTCTGGCTCTATCAGAGCAGAAGTCACATGACCTGGGAGAGCTGGTTGGCCGGATGCAAATGGAGAATTTGGAGCTGAAGGAACGTCATTCCCGTGAACTGAAGAAAGAGCAAGAGGTATGCAGGAAAACCTTTTTCCTCAGTTAACTTTCCAGGTCATAGAAAAGCCACTAACAAACCTGAATGAAAAAGCTATGGGAAACAATGACAACGTATGTTGTCAGAATGACTCAGGTAATCAGCAAGCTGCTGTGTGTTAAAACATTGTAGCATGTGCATTGCATGAACTGACTATATTAAAAGAGGTGATTTAAGGCATTTGATGTTTACATTAAGTAGTACCCCCTTGGGATTCGTGTGTCTTACAGGAAAATGTTTTAAGAGAAGGAAAACGTCTTCGTGAGGTGCACTCTGTGACCGAGAAGAACCTTCAACTGAAAAACAAGGCAAGTAGGCGATTTATGGGAATATCTTCCTGTGTAGAACCCTGCATTAATTAACTTTCTTTGTGGCAGAGACATCCCAATTGATTATTCTGTGTTGATAAGGTACTGTAAAAGAGTAGGATCTTGACTTGTAGTTTTGTGCACATTGCCAAGAACAGAAGTGAAGGATTCTTAGTTTCTGATTGATTGGGAAATGTACCACAGTGGTCAGCCCTTTGGGAATCCCCATGCACATACCTCTTGTTCTTGATTTTAAGTGCACTTTCGTATAGTTTTCACTTGTGTTGAAAGTTTTGTGTTTTGTTGTCATTGCATAGAGCAAAGTTCCTGCTGGTAGTTTTTACTCATTTCCAATGGCTTTATTGGTCATTTCATTTTGCATGTGTACCCTTTGTACAGGTATAGCAGGTTTAGTAATCCCCTGGAGGAACAGGGGATACTGAATATGCAGTGTGTGTAATAGAAGTGCTTAGGTGCTGTGCTGTATACCAGGTGGAGGAGCTGGAGCGCAGGTGTAAGGCCCAGCAGGATCAAATCTTCGAACTCAAACAGGAGCTAACCAACATGAGTGCTGAGCTCAAACTGCGTCTGGCACAGGCAGAGGGTGAGACATCGGCATAACTCACCTTCTTCACATACTCCAGCAGTCTTGTCTGGATTGCATTATCCATCCTTGAGGCTTTCTTTGATCAGTTGACTCTTTGCTGCCTGTGTGTGCTGGGCACAGTGACATTTGACAATAAGAGCATATATATAATATGTAATGCTTTCACAGGAAAGATGTAAGCTTGCCTTAGTTCTGAGTAGAAATATACAACTTAATACAATGGTGATGGGGGCTCCCAAGGGTCACAACAAGTGGTCATGCTTTTTCAAACCTGCGGTCAGGGTACTGCTTGTTCATGATTATGCTGTGTCTTATGTGGAATGGCATATTATTCAAAGGCCTGAGGGTTTCAGATCCGCAACTTCGTAAAATGGTCTCCTAAAGGGCTTTTACAAATACTGTTTATTTCTGTTGTTGCTCAAGAGCGACTGGGCATGGAGAAGAAACGGTCAAAGCAGGCTCAGGACGATCTGGACAATCTGCATAAAAAAGAGGTACTGTATGAAGACTTTTCTGGCTGGAAACAAGGTGTAGGCTGAGTGATTCCACGTAATTCCACATTGTATACCTTGGACAACATATACATTATACAGTATACATTATAAAGTCTTGATGCTGTGTTGGGGTGATTCCAATCACAAAAATAAAAGGGTCTTGATGCTATGCTACCTAGCTATTAGTACCATGTGTAAATTCTTGTGAATATTGTAATATTGTTTGAGATGTGAAAAAGTAAGGTTTTCCAATTTTCTTTCATTGTAGTACTTACTGTGATTTTGTTGTTTGCACTATATATTAATTGTGATTATTTGTGATTTTATCTGTTTTGCCTGAGATTGGTATTTTCAAGTAAGAATTCTTCAGAAAAATCTGTCCATCAGTCCTGAATTAGAAACCCAGTGTTTGATAGCACCATTTTGTTCTCTTCAGGTTTCTTATGCTGTTGTGTCAAAGTTTTGAGTCAAGCCAATGTCTTGGTTTAAATTAAATGTCTATCTTTTAGTCAAATCAATGCATTGTATTGTAGTATAAGCTTAGGTGAAATTGTACTGATTTTATTTATTGGTCATCTTGTGTGCTACAGTTTTCCATTTTAAGAAATAAATGGCTATTGAATATTAGAGATGCGTTCTAGGTTAACAACTGTTGTTTCAGAGTATGTAGCACATGAACAGCAACTGAACTGCATTACAGTTACGGTTTCCTGTCATTGAGCAGAACAGTGCTGTATTGACACATTCATTAAAAAAATCCTTAATGTGTAGACATTTCTATAGTTACAAATGCAGTTTTCCTGCATGCCTATTTGTAAATTTGATACAAGTTCTGAGTTCCTTGATGTTGTGTACGCAGAAAATACAGTATGGTATGTATTTTCTGTAACATTTATGTCTGAGCTAAGTATAATAGAACTGTCATTTTAAGGTGACTCAGTTATTTGTTGTGACACAGGTGGATCACCTGAATAGACACCTGGAGGAGACTGAGAGGACACTGCAGGACAGGGTTCAGAAACTAGATGCTCTGCGCATTCAGTTAGAAGAGGTGAGTGAATGACAGAACTACGTGTTACATTTATGCACCACAATAAAAGGTGAAAGTCCAGGGGAAAAGCATTTGGGAGGGGTTTTTGGAAATCTTTTCCGTATCCTTAATCCTATCCTTATCCTTTCCTTAACATTATTGTAGTTTACCATCCAGTGACTGAGGAGATTTAGAAGTCCTTTAATAGTTATAGGTAGTGATGTTCAAATAAGATAGATACATCAGCCGTGTTCTATAAATATGTATTGTATAATGCATTTTTTTTTAAATATTTGTGTGAGGAAAAAATTGGTGCAGTTTTGAAATTGATTTATAAATGTTTCATTGAAAAATGCCAAAAGACATTCTTCGTTTCAGTTTTACGATTTCTAGTCAGGAAAGTGCCAAAATGCTTCAGAGCAGAACAGTACTGTAGAAACTTTGTTCCTTCAGGAACTGAGTCGTGTGAAAGCGGCCTGCGTGTCCGAGAGAGCGCTGGCCGACGAGGAGCTGGGCAAGGTGCGCACTCAGGTGCGGCTGGAGGAGGTAAGATGTAGCCCGAACACTGAAAACATTATTACCTGACTGTGACTGGGATGCCCAATTGGGCTTTCTGTCAAAACAGTGGCTCCTGTGCTGGGCATCTGCCAGCCTGCAGTGATGTCACTGAGACACTCGGCACTTTTTCAATAAGCACTCACAGTCAGGATGTGTGTCAAATGGTGAATGGGTCTGTAGGCGGGTATGTCAGAGGAGCATGTTCATGTGTCTCACTCTCTCCTGAGCTGGGACACATGGGCTGCTGCTGGAAATGTGTGTTTCAAATCAATCTGCAATTCCAAAAGTGGTGGTGGTTGTAATAAGACCACTGGTGATTCCAAATGTAGAATGAACAGTGAGAGTAATTGTAAGCATTTCAGTTGTTTGACTTTTGCATAAGAAGGATACAAATTGGTTGTAATTTGAATGTACAGTATTCTCAGATCCAAATGGGGGTGTAGGGGAGGGTTTGTTAGGCAAATGTGAGGAGTTAGTTCAGAGAACATGTAGAATACTTTTGGAATTGGTAGTTAAAAGTGTTATTTATCTCAAATGAAAGTGGATTATGGTTTGTTGCATAAAGAAGATAGAGCAAAACAGGGACTGTTGTGGCAAGAAAAGCCATCTCTAAGAACCCTGGCTCTATACATTCTTGCCTGAAGGTCTTTATGCGCTGCCACAGGAAGCAGCTTCTCTGTGATAAAGCTGAAGAGACACTCTGTGTTTTCTTGCCTTTAAGTCTGTCTGCTTAGGAGACGGGCCTGCTAACTATTATAGACAAGAGAGACTGTATTACATTCTGTTTTGACTCTGGCTTCTCAATTTACCAATATAAAGTTTATAAAACCATAAAATTAATTCTGCTGGTATTACTTAATTTTGTTAGTAAGCATTGTAGCATTGTAGCATTGTTTATACGAAGGTGAATTAAGAACATGCTTTTGTGTTTTTTTTGTGTTTAGAAAAGTGTAAATATGTATGTTAACAGCAAATGAAAGTTTAGGTGTGCAGCATCTAAAACATAGTCAGTCAATAGTTAAAGGGTAAAAATGATTGTTAAAAATGATTGTTAAATACAGTATGTCTCTGTTTTTAAGGGATTCATCTTTAATGATGATTTAATATTAATTGAAACTTACATTAGTCAGTATGTTGTAGTGAAGTAACAAATTTAAGACACAGGATACCAGTGTTTATTCTAAACTTCTTTATATGTTTTTACTGAGTGTTCTCTGGGGTTAGGGGCTCTGTTGCTGATGTATTTAAGGTAGGAAAGTGATCGATATGCAGTGTCTGTGGTAGAATTTAGAAGCCAATAATGTATTAAGCTAATTGACCAGTCTCAAGTACAAACACTGAGCCAGTGCAGGTGTTGATCATTACGCTGGAGAAGCAGCTGGCGAGGTCCGGAATGCCAAAGCTGAACATATCCATTGTATGGAATTTTGAAATGATGTCACAGAATGCAGAGTCAGAACATGGCAGTGAATGGAGTTGAATGTGAAGATCATTCTGTCCAAGTTCATTTCTCTAATGTTTCCATTGTAGCCTGAAGTACTGAAGATAACAAGAGTGATATTGTAAGATACTGTATCTTGTATAATGGTATAGCCAAGTGAACCAAATAAAATGTCTGTTTCATTTTATCTCAGTACATCTACATATAATGATTTTTACATCAGCTTGGTAGGCTGATTATTAATCAAGGTTTCATTTTTTGGGTAATCTACCCTTTTGTTTGTAAAAATAGATTATTTAATTTGAGTGATAGGTCTTTTTCATTCTGAGATGATAGGGGGACATATATTCAATTTAAGACATGTAATTGTTGAAATAAGAGTAGTTGTCATGCTGTATTTAAAAAAGAAAAAAATGTTCTTGAGCTGGGTCCAGAGTGGACTACAGTGCTGCTCTGCACTCACTTTTATCTTTTAATGTTTGTTTTGAGCTCTTGTTCTTTTTGTTCACAATGCAACTTATCTTTTTATATGTACCACAAAAAACACATTTACGCTGATAACAGTAACCATAACAGGTCGTCCTGGGATAAAAGCCAAATGAACGATTACTAAGAACAAGTTGTAAGTCTAGGGTACACTGTATTGATTGAGGCACTTAAAATCCCGTTCTGAACCTTCCTTCTTGTGAAATCTCAGCGTGTTACGGACCAGCAAGACATACCCTGCCTCTCTCTGCTCCCCAGCAACAGCGGCTGAGCGCTGTGGAGGAGAAGTTGCGGGCCCTGCGTCAGTCGCGGGATGAGGCCCAGGGGCTCTGTGCCCAACAGAAACAGACCGCGGCAGAGCTGCAGGCCAAGAACAGCCAGCTGGCCCTGGAAATGGATGGGCTGAGGAGGAGGATTGAGGAGCTGCAGCAGGTGAGTTAATAACTGCCCTGGCACTCTGATTCAGACACGACTCACAGCTGTGTCTCTCCTAAAGAAAAAAAGGAACATTGCTGAGGAGACTTTAATAACTTAATCTAAGCTTGTACTTTTTTACTCTAGGTGGATTTTTACCCTTTTCTCATTTGTAAATTAATCTGTAGAAAATATTGTTTTTCACTTGACAGTGAGGAATATAATATACTAATACTTGCTGAATCTTGAAATATTATGTTAATTTATGTTAATATATGCAGCAATGTTTTAGGATTTAGGATTTGATGTTCAAGATAATTAAATAACACCTTGCTTACAAGAGCACTACAATTAAAGTGCTTCTAGAATTCCTTGGCTGTTTTATATTCATCATGGAAAGAGACAAAAAAGATGGTGACCTTTTAAGATCTTTTAAGAGTTACTCTGACATTTGAGGTTATTAAAACACCTTTTAGAAACACCATTAAAAACACTAGCTCATGTCTTCCAGAAACCTGGAGAATTTCAAACTTAATTGCCAGACTTGGAGGGTTGGGAGAGAATGGTGAAATAAAGATAAAATGTATGCTAACAAGTGAAATTGACATTTACCATGTATTTTAATGTGTAATAAATTTGGGGAAACTAAAAATAGATCAGAATCTCTTGGTATTCTTGGGTGAAGTCCAGGCTGTGTGTAAAGTACCTTGTACAGTACAGTACGTCACAAAGCAGTGACAGGGTGCCGTGTGTGTCCAGGAGCTGACAGGAAAAGAGCAGGAAAAGGTGGCGGAAGTAAGCCGTGTGCGGGTGGAGCTGCAGGAGCAGATTGGACACCTGCAGGCCGAGAGGACCACCCAGGCGGGGCTGAAGGAAAAAATTGCCGCCCTGGAGCGGGAGATGAAAGGTATGTATTTCTTTTAAAGAGACATTCGAGCTCCTGACAATCAAAAACCCTGGTGAAAGAGCAAGCCACAGGGCTTGTCATACTGTACATTGTCTGTATATATTTTGTATTCAAGAAGGAACATTGTACACCTATAAGAAGGATATTAGTAAATTTATAGTCATCATCTAAGGCCCTCCTTGTGGCGATTAGATATATATACTGTATATTTTAAGTAGGAATTTGTGTAAAATGTGTTTTGTGATGTAATTAATAGATCTGTTCATCTAATGTCATCAGATGTTTCTCATACTCCAGAAAGAAGTGTCCCATCAAAACCATAAGTGTCATCTTTCATTTGTTAGCTACTTCACATAAGCCAGGCATTCTTCTTTCCTTCCATGTGCTGGCTGTGTTACGGGTTTTTGGTGGTGAAAAGAAAAACTGTTTTGACTTTTCTGCAGTGATAGCAAGCCGCCACCGAGAGGCGCTTTTGGATAAAGAGAGTGAGATCGCCTCCCTGCTGGAAAAGCTGAGGCTGCGGGACGCGGAGATCCAGCGGATCCGCGACGACGAGGCTCAGCGGGCCAGCTTCCTGCAGAACGCCATTCTCACATATGTGCAGGGCTCTTCGCTGAGCAGCTACTGCCCCAAGAAGTAGAACCGCTGCCCCCACATGAGACCTCCCAGGCAGTAGTGTCCTGCTGATCTGCAGAATGAGCAGGTCTCCATGGGAAGTGCAAGGACAGCTGTGAAAGAGGGACACTCCAGGAGGCAGGATTCCATCAAAGATGGAGCATTTAAAACAAGCTCAGCTGTTCTGTAAGCTTGCGCAACACAGGGCTCTAGCAATAAAAAAATGGCTTTTTCATTATCAGGTCACTATCTGATTTCTGTTGTGCTACACTTAACTCAACAGAAGATTTCGCTCTCGGTTTGAGTTTGTGACTGGCTGAGCAATATTTGGTTCAAGATGGTTGCTAATGCCAATATTGACCCACTGCACAGTTCTAGTCTGGTTTGATTCAACTGATGGGCAGGGAAAAATCAAAGAGGAATGTCTGCTGATAAGCAATGGGATTTTATTTCTACACGTTTTATTTAATACCTGGTGCTGAATACGGTTATTTACTGTATGTGCATAGCATACGTTTTGTTTGATAACAGTATATCTTCTTAATTAGCCAATCATTGCCTTCTTTTTACAACTGTTTCATTTTCAGCAGTGATATGTACAATTATGCAGATCTGTTTTCATCTTATTTCCTTGTTGCAGAATAAAGTAAGAATTGACTAGGAATTGACTTCATGAAAAGTTCATCCGAGACCATTTTGATTCCAGCCTTAACTTTAATGTATTTTATGGACAGAAGTTTTTATGTTTTAATTTTTGACAGTATTATTTGGCTTTGCATTCCTATTACATACAGTATGTATGTCATTTTGAGTCTGTTTAAAAAATGATATCCCAATCTGTATACAATTTGTGCTATTGTTTAACAGTGCAACCAATACAGGGTCTTCAATGGATGTAGGATGAAAATATTTTATCAACACTTTTTCATGCTGTTAAGTACTTGTACTGTATCATTTCTACAATCACAAAATAGATTCCTGCTTTTTTTAAAAAAATGTAAATGAATTGTATATGTCTTAACTATATATTTTTCTAGACTTTTTCAAGTTTTGTATATTTTACAATTAAATCATTTTTTGAGTTTAAAAGGGTTTCGCAACGTACTGATGGCCAGGCAGGGAAGGCACAATTCAGAAATAAAGGTGTACTTTCATCACAAAATATTTAACAGATTCATTCTTTTTAAAAAAAAGCTTTCTCACTAAATATTTAAAAGCATCATTAATTTATACCTTGAAGACTTCATTCAAACTTCTAAACACATTTAACACTAAAAGACAAAAGAGTGGACTTTTCAGAATCAACTATGAAACATAAGGCTACAGATCTGGGCCTGTGGCTGGAAGGTTGCCGGTTTGTATCTCCCGGCCGGCAGAGGAATCCTACGCCGTTGGGCCCCTGAGCAAGGCCCTTAAACCCAACTACTCCAGGGGCGCTGTACAATGGCTGACCCTGCGTTCTGACCCCAAGCTTCTCTCCCTGTCTGTGTCTCATAGAGAGCAAGCTGGGGTATGTGAAAAGACTAATTCGGGATGCAAGAAATTGAATAGGTCTAATAAAGTGATGTTATGTTACAAATGGAAACTATGTGAAAACCTTTATGAGAGTTTGGAAAAGCTACCCAGTTGAAGCCCGTACTTTGCTTCCAGAAGCAGCTGAACAAGATTGTTGTGCCAATAAGCTAGTAACTTCCAAACTGGACTGGACTGGATTTCAGAATGTTCTGTCTACTGGACCCTATGAATGTCACTCCAGAGTAATGTATAGAGTTGACCGAAAGCACACTGGGTGGTGGCGTCCGTCCTGCACTTAATTAGAGCCAGATTGGCCTAGCTAGCAGTGGATGACTCTTGGAATGCTAATTATTAAGGATTCTGTGTTTTTTAAAGAACTCATTCATTGTGTATTGATGGTATCTCATTATGTGGTGGGGGGTGCTTGTGTGTCTGTATTTTTGTAAGTACCCCAGCAGGTTCCTCTAGACTAGAGCTAGACTAGGCTAGAGCCTCTCTTTAAACACCAGCCTCTTCCCTGTTGTCTCTGTATCCAGTTAGCGATTTTAGGGTGATGTTTCATAGGTCAGGAAACCACTATTGAGTGCAGGCTGAGATTTAACTGAACACGTGTTCACAATTGCCTTCTTTATTGTGGCGCTCTTGGGTTCACGTGGCTATGCACCCACGCCGCTGGGGACTTGAACCCGAGCCTCCGGCGGCACTCAACAGGGACCCAGACAGTTGAGCTAAAGGGAAATCTCCCCCTCAACCTAGAGGCTGAGGTCCCCGCTATTCACTAGGAAGGGCGGTGACGTCACCGCGTTGGTAAGCCGGCTCGCACAACCTGCAATGTCGGCCGTACGCTATTAACTCACAGGAGCCTTATCCAAATGTAAAAGTCGGATTTCATTTTCATGATAAATCAATTCACATAGCTAGCTCCATCTCAGTGTGGTTTACAGTGTACAATCCGCTAATTAAAAGTAATTTTAATTATAAACAATAGTTGTTGGCTGAACGTATTTTAAAATTAAAACATTTTAAAAACTTAAGAGTTCGTATTAAACAGAGAAAGTAGGGTACATCAAACGCATGCATTTATGCGAGATCAAAAGACATTAAAACCACCAAGAATAAAAAGTAACCGAAAGACTTTGGGAAGCAGGAAGGACAACATTTTCAAAAGCAACATTTTTGGGAGGGGGGTAGTGATGTAAGGTCCCTTTAAACGAGCTCGCCTCTTTCCGGAGAGAATCGGCTATTGTCGGCATTTGACTCTGCTGCTGCAGCTCTGTCGCTTGCCGAACCAGCCCCGTTATTATTAACAGAAATCTCGAATCGCAGTCACAATCGGGCGAATTTAAAATATCTTGGGGAGTCCTGTGTGTGTAAAAACCTCACTCTCTGCAAATGCAGGCCATTAAGTGCGTGGTTGTCGGCGACGGGTAAGTAAAAATATCTCAGACCGCGTTTGAAATACATTTTCTTTGCCCCCGTGCGAATGAAAGGCATCTGTGTGAGAATGCAATTGTTGCAAGAAGGGCTGGGGCTTGTCTCTGGGCTGAAAAAATAGGTAGAATCTCTGTATTCCCCGCTTTTCATCATAAAAATTGTATTCAGTTAAGGTGATTTGTAAAAGATGTGTGTTTGGCTCGAATTCCTTGCGCTGGATTCATATTTTAGTCATTTCCGAAATTCCACGGAAAAAAAAATACTTGAAAGAATGCGGTTGATGTGGAAAACGTGCAATGAAAAAACTACGGTATTTCCACCTTATTAAACGGTCATCTTCTGGGGAAGGAAATTTTAAAACAATGGTAGTGTGAGTGACAGTTTGCATGTGATGTCCTTTGGAATGAATTTAAATAAGCACAATCGTGGCATTTTTTTTGGAAAAAAAGGGGGCCGAGTTCTAAGCTGGTTTTAGTACAGTAGCCGCTAGGATTTGAAAGCTGGCTGTACATACAGCTTCGGCAGAGCTATGCATATTTTATGATGTAATGGTTTCACACCTATATGATTATAATTGTGAAGGCAAATGTATCGGTCTCTGCACTCCTGCTTCTGGGTGCTTTTCAGTAATGCTGGTTTCAACTTGGTTTAGTGGGCGTTGATCGGTTATTTTTGGGTCCAGCAAATGCAAAATGCAGGCTATAAATCTCTCTGTTCAGATGGCTGTGAATACGGCAGAATTTGGTGCATTTCGGGTGGGCAGATCTGGGATAATCTGTTGCTGGGTGGGGGTATTTTGGTTTGGCCTCAAAATAAGTTAAATTCACTGGTAGTAGAAAAAAAGATATTGTCGAGCCTGGATGGGTGTATTCGCCCTGACCTTAAATGGGAGGCTGAAATGGACAGTCACAATCCCTAAAACTAAAGATCCAGTGGCGACTCCACAGATAAATTGCTCTGAGGTCCTAGATATAGAACCTGCTTC